GGGACGTGTAGGTCGCATAGGGCCCCGTTGGCGTTCTAGGCTGGGTGACGGGAACCGTCTTGGTACCTGTCAAGAAGGTCACGTCTTCGGTGTTGGAGAGAGTGATTTTACTTGTGCCGAGATCCTGAGCTCTAGCTGGAGCTGCGAGGAAGGACAGCAGCCCGAGGGTCAAGACGAAGAGACGTCCTGTCATGTTGGGCGGAGCAACCTCTCGCGAGGACTCGTGTGTTTGCGTACGAGTTTTGTAGATGTCTCGGTCGACCACAACGAAAGGACGACTACCTGGGTCAAGTTCGAGTGTGGTGAGGAGGTACCGGATCGGGAGAGTTTGTATTCAGAGCATTCGTTGGGATGGCAGCAAAGCGCAGAGGCCACCAGTTGACACTCAGGGGAGAATTGGGTTGGGAGCCAAAATTCAAGAAAAACCAGTCATCGGACGATGGACGGCGAACGACGACGTTGGGACTGACCCGGAAAGGTTCGATGACGATCTCCAAGCACTATCCCTACCGTCAATTACCAAAAAGCACGCTAGAGAGGGACGGAGGAGAGGAAGGGTGAAGCAAGAGAGGGAGGGAGAGAGAAAGAGAAAGTGCTGGAAGTTTGGTGATAGGCGACAGAGGCGGTCATTTGCATGCATTTCACATGAGATAAAATGCAGGTTCAGGGAAGGAACAATAACAGCCAGCCAGGCTAGGTACCTACCTTCCTACCTGTACTTCAACCATCAGTCAGTCCATGGCTGTGCCAACGGGCGCCTAGCAGCAATAGCAAAAGCAACAAGCGAGAGGTGCTCTTTGCTCTTCCATCCCTCCTTCCCACGCCCCCGTTGAGCCTATGACATAATTTTTGTGTCGTGGTCTGGGCGCTGTGGTCTTTCCCGGGGGTGGCTAGACACTTTCTCTCTCTACTACTACAAGTAGGTGGTCCGGGCCCCCGAGACAGCACTACGCAACCGCAGCAAACAAGACCAAGTCACACCCTGGACAGGCTCCATTCTGGCGGGTCAAGACGATCCACCTTGGTGGAAGATGCTGCAAGGATCGCTGGGGATTTGCCGGGACCCTGCTGCTGGCATCGGCGGCTCCAGCTGGGCAGGGTAGTGGTCGCGTATTGCATCTCATAAAGGGAGAGAGTGCAGTATTGTGTGAAGAGGAATGAGCATGGCCAATGGCAACAGCATGCTACACTACATCAACAACAAACATGGGCACTACCAACACCCAACACACGATCGGATAAGGGGCAGTGCCCGCGTTTCTGCTGCTTCTGAGGCAAAGGAAAGGGGGGCCCGGTTCGGGCGGACTTCCCTAGCGATCGGCGGCACAGGAAGCCGGCGCGGCGTGGTGGACGCGTGTGCAGAACATGCCCTGGCTCGGGTTCGGGGCTTCCTGGAAACCAACCAAGGTTAGGCAGTGGAAGTAGTCGTACATGGCAGCCGGCGAGCCGAAAAGAAAATGCCGTAAACCGGCATTTCGGAAACCTAGAATGATGTACAATGCAGGCATGACGGGATGAGGGAAAACAGGGGGTTTAAGGCTCGGCATCTGGCTGGCTATCCTTATTTCGTTTGTTTCAATCGAGATATTGGGTTACTTTTCGATTTATTTATTCACGTATTCTTTTGCTGGGGTGGGCTGGGTGTTGCCAAGGGGTATTAAGACCAGCTATTTCTGGCTTGAGACCCTGGGTTGCTCTCCCAACAGAGCCCGAGCAAAGGAGAACCGGGAGTTTGACCAAGTATACGTGTGTGTGTGCATATAAACCGTTTGTATACTACGTATGCAGAGGGACGATGCCGCTCAGGGGCGAAACTTGCAGACTGGAACTAGAAACAGGAGTAAGCAGCTCTTGTCCACCCGTTGGAATTGCAAGTCGCAGTTATCCCCTTACTACCACCTAGTAACAGCCGCCGACCACCACCATGATGATACCATTTTCAGCTGTGAAGGGGTGCCTGCTTACTGATCGACCACTCAAACGAGGCCGAATGGCACGATAGTTGGTAGGCTAGACTAGACCCCTTGGAGGCAGTGCAGTGCAGTGCTGTGCTGTGCTGTGCTGCATTGTACGGATACCGTAATCCTCATAACGGCCAACAGGCAACAATGGTAGCGGCCTCGTATAGACACTTCCTCGGGCCCCGGAGACAGGGCCGTCGTCGCTACCTTGCGCCCCGCGGAGAGGTAGGGCAGCAAAGCCTATGCAGTGGGTGGTGAAATCGAACGGCCCAACGTGGACTGACCAACACAGCCAGCAGTCCCGTCCCACTTGCCCTGTACCGGCACATCTATTCTGGTGGTTCATTCCATTCGCTGTCATGCAGTTTATCCAACTCGTTTTCCCTCCTTTTCTTGCCTTGTATTATGTCCGGGAGGGTGTCGTGTCGATGGAGGGTCCAAGTGGGCCAAAACAAGGTCAAATGTCCCACTAGCCCCACACGGCTCGCCGCCAAGACCCACTAGCCGTGGCGCCGCTAATGTGCCCAAGACACCCACTGCCTGTCGACATGACCGGGAAATAGGAGGCAGAAGGGGGTAGGAGGAGAGAGAAAAGACAGGAAAAAAACGAAGTATTAAAAAAAAAAAAAAACACTGGTTGAACTGCATTGCTACGACGTCATTCTCCCTGTTGGGAGTGTTGTCAGTGACCCTCCTCTAAGCCTGCCCCGATATGCCTGTACACATACACACTTGGGTGCCCGCGTTGGGATTATCTTCTTTGATTTTCTTTTTTTTTCCCGATTCTCCTCCTAGTCGAACCCTGCTGGGCTACCTGACGACTTGTCCTGCCCCCATGTTTACTAACTGGGGGGATCCATTGAAACAGCCGTCCTGTTCCTGTTCTGGCTTGGCCTGCTGCTCTGGTGATTTCCGTGGTTTATACACGCTCTGGATTCGTACTCCCACAATTCCATACCGGACTCTTGGTAATTTCTTGTAGGTTCGAAGCCACCTGTTTGCCCATCGTCATTGTCATTGACCTTTCGGAGGAATAAGATCGATCTGAGACAATTGCTTGACTCTGAAGTGCTGGCAACACCCCCCAAAGCCGTTGCATCATCCACTACCCTTTTCTCCATTCGTCTCTCTTTTCCCCCTTACGGACCTTCGGCGAGGAGAACCGCGGAGAGAAAGGGAAAGATAGAGAGCTACGTATACTGCGTCATATCATTTCTCATCTATTGTACGCGCTGTCGGTAGATATCTGGGGACCGAACCACAGCCGGTGCTCCGTACCCTCCATCTTCCCCCGGACCTTGACCTTGGTACCACGTCCAGCTGCCTCTTTTCACGACGACCTCACTCGCTACACCTTCCCGTCTTGAGATTCTCAACCCACCATGGCAAAAACCCGCCGGAACAGCGCCATCGCGGCCGCTGCCTGCTACTTCATCGCCATCATCTTCCTCATCCTCGTCATCATCGGCAACACCTCCAACAAGCCCGTTCTGACAGAAATTTACTTCTTCAAGCTCGACGTCAGCGACATCATCCCCCTCTCCTCCGCCAACGCCGCCCTCCTCAACTCCGTCGCTCGGAGTCTGGGCCTCCACGACTTTTACCAGGTCGGCTTGTGGAACTTCTGCGAGGGCTACAACGATGAGTGAGTGCCAACCGCCGCCACCTTCCGTCCCCTTACACCGCGCATGCTGACATTGACAAACTCGCAGAGGCGTCACCTTCTGCTCTACCCCCAAGCGGATGTGGTGGTTCAACCCCATCGAGATCCTGACCAACGAGCTGCTCGCCGGCGCCACCATCGCCCTGCCCTCTGAGGTCACCACCATCCTCAACATCCTCCGCATCGGCCAGCAGATCATGTTCGGCTTCTTCATCGCCGGCATCTCCCTCGCCGCCGCCCTCCTCATCGCGACGCCTCTCGTCATGCGCACGCGCTGGTGGAGCCTGCCCGTCGCCATCTTCGCCTGCATCACCGGCACCCTCGTCACCGTCGCCTCCATCATTGGCACCGTCATGAGCGTCGGCGCCCGCATCGCCCTCACCCAGCAGAAGGAGCTCAACATCAAGGCCGTCCTGGGCGTGCGTATGTTTGTCTTCATGTGGCTCGCCAGCGCCCTTGTCACCGTTGCCGCCATCATTCACATGGCCATGGGCTGCTGCTGCTCGCCGCGCAAGGAGAGAGAGGCGGCGGCTGCGGCCGCGGCGGCGAACAACGGCACGCCCGAGAAGACGACCCAAACGACAGAGACGGGCGAGAAGCCATCGAAGCTAGCGGCGTTTATGAGAAAGCGCAGCCCGAGGTCGTCGACGTCGTGAGTTAGATGTTGTCTGAGCGGGCTTTTCAAGCACGACGTGTACGGCTCGCGGATCAGCGACCCATGTCGACCGGTCCGGGCCGGTGCTCTCTCTATGAGAATAATCAGCGGTGCAGAGACAGAGGGGGGTTAAAAGAGAAGGAGTGAACATTGGTAAATATCTCGAGAGCTGCTCGTTGCCGGCATGGACAAACAATTGAAATTGAGCAATGGCGTTGGTGGTTTGCAGCACATCGGGATGGCCATGACATTAGAAATTTCTGGCAGATACACAGATTACAGTAGTAGAGACGAACACACGTGCATGTAAATGGGCAATACCTAATCATCACCAAAACCCTCTCCTGATGCAAGCAGACTGCCGACTCGCGACAATCGATCGGGGATCCGTCCAGGCCTTGATTGAGACAAAAAAAAATTGATGAGGTTCTTCACGTCGCATATGTGTACACCACGCACGCAACGTGGGCTGACTGTACCGTCGCTGGGGGGGGGGCTCCAAAACTGTACCTCGGCTCGTCTGACCTCATCGGCCGGAGCTCATCCCAGCTCCCACATCCCCCCCTTTTTCCCCCAGATCGCCGACGACTTCCTGCCCTCGTGCATCGTAACGACTTATTCTGTACGTGCAAAAGGCAATCCCGAAGAAGGCTAGGCCAACAGACACTCAACTTCAAGTACCGTACGGGAACATACAAACACACACATACCCCTCGCAGCCATGGACGTCGCATCGCTCTTCAACGTCAAGGTAAAACCTCACTCACCCACCCCCGTCATCACCGTAGAACTCGCGCGCTGACCCTACCCCTCCCCCCTCCCGCCCGCAGGACAAGAACGTTCTCGTGACGGGCGGCGCCAAGGGCGTCGGCTACATGATCTCGGAGGGCTACGTCGCCAACGGCGCGACGGTCTACGTCTCGTCCCGCGACGCCGCCGCGTGCGAGGCCGCTGCCGCGGCGCTGACAGCCAAGGGCCCCGGCCGGGCCCACGCTATCCCCGCCGACCTCCAGAAGCTCGACGACTGCCGGCGGCTCGTCGACGAGCTCGCCTCCCGCACGGCCGGCCGCCTGCACGTCCTCGTCAACAACTCGGGCGCCACCTGGGGCGAGGCCTTCGACACCTACCCGGACGCCGCCTGGACCAAGCTCCTCACCCTCAACCTCCAACGCGTCTTCACCCTGACCCAGCTCGCGGCGCCGCTGCTGGAGGCTGCGGCGGCGGCGGCGTCGTCGTCGTCGTCATCGTCAGCCACCGAAGGAGGGCCCCACGCCGACCCGAGCCGCGTCATCAACATCGGCAGCGTCGACGGCCTGCGCGTGCCGCTCATGAGCAGCTACGCCTACAGCGCCAGCAAGGCGGGGCTGCACCACCTGTCGCGGGCGCTGGCGCGCGAGCTGGGGCCCCGCGGCATCACGAGCAACGCGCTCGCGTGCGGGCCCTTTGAGAGCAAGATGATGCGCGCCACGCTCGACTCGATGCGCGACCTCATCGAGAGCGAGATCCCCCTGCGGCGCATCGGCACGCCCCAGGACGTCGCCGGCGCCTGCCTGTTCCTCAGCGGGCGCGCCGGCGCCTTCGTCACGGGGGCCACCATCACCGTCGACGGCGGCATGGTCCTGGCGTCCAAGCTGTAGACCGGACAGGCGCGTCGGGGCGGGGGTGGGAATGAACACCGAGAGAGAGAGAGAGAGAGAGAGAGAGAGAGAGAAAGAAACAGAAACAGAGAGGACGCAGTGCTCTGTTGGCGGTCCTGCTTGTGGATGGTGCGGCAGAGAGAGCGGGGGAAAAGTTCTGGAATGACTGGATCACAATATCACGACGAGACATGGCAAGAATAGAGAGTGTGGAGAGTAAAAACACCACAAGACTGGTGTATATCTTTTTTCAAGAGTAAAACCATAACAGTTTTGGCAGGACGATTCGTCCGCCGAGGTGGTATTCGTACATGATAAAAGAAAAGAAAAAAAAAGAACTGGTGAGCGAAGATCCACCAGGATGCCCGGTTTGTGGTTCCGAGTCGTCCCCCCGTATATTCCCAACGCCTCTTTGACTCCTCGTGTATGTATCATGAGATATCCCGCATTCAAAATCAGACATGAGATGTTTCCCTTTCCAAAGCCCGCAATGCAATAATGCCCCTTTCCCATGATGCGCCACTGCGAGATTCGTCATAAAAAAAAAGGAGAAAGAAAAAAAAGAGAAAAAAAAGAGGGGAAAAAAAAACCCCGGAAAGGCCGAAATCATCTCCAGTGTCTATACCGTTTTTCGCTTGAACCCTCGAGAGGAATGCAAAACCGATTAGAGACTCCTACGTCGATTGAACACTGTAGCGAAGCGGTGAAGGATGTCGGATGATGGAAATGGCAACGAGCGGAAATGAGAAGACTTTGGGTCGATCGTCGACCCTCGTGAACTTGTCTTCTTCCCCGGCTCCCCGGAAAGCGTCACGCGAGGTCGCCGTGCGCGCAGCCTCGGGGTTCTCGGGCCCGCGCTGTTTCAGCGGCTCCTCTCGTCCGATGGTTCGGCAATGTCTAGCTGAACGGTCCAAGCCCCCAGCCCCTCCCTCGCGACATCCCCCGAAAGGGATTTCGTGAGAACACGAAAACATGTTTCGCGGGGCTGAGGGGCCTATCGCAGACTGCAGCTGGCGAACGACGACGATTGGTGGGAGGACCGCGCGCCTTCTATGACAGGCCGCAGGACTCAAAGTCGCGCATCATGACAGCCATTTGAGCGCGTTTCGCGGCCTCGGCGACGAGGGTGAAGTCGCGGAGGAAGGCCTCGGTCGACGGGGCGGCCTGGCCGGTGGCCTGGGGCGGCGGGACCATCTGGTTCGTGGACAGGTGCGAGGAGGACGACGATACCGAGGACGTGGAGTCCTGGCGCTTGGGAGAGTGGATCGGTGCGTTCATGTTGGTGTTGATTGACGATGATGTTTTAAATGTATTGTGTTTGGTTGGCGCGACGATGTGATGGCTTTCCCTTGATGGCAAGAGGGGCGAGGAGCAAAGGGCGGGAAGGTTTGGCTAAATGGTAGGTCCGGGGGGGGAAATGATGGTATTATAGTCCCCAGATCTTCGAGTCCGGGGCGGCGTCGATCTTGTCTCTATGTGAGACCCAAGTACAGGTACCTGAACCGAGGTGATGTCAAGCGTGGGGGGAGGGAGGTAGCCAGATCAGGAACCGGAAGACAAGAATGGAGCGTCCGGAGAAAAGTGAGCGTGCGGACGGTGCTACTCTCTTTTTAAACAATGGATATCGATGTCTGGCCTGGGTTTTGTGCAGGCAGGAGAGACGGACGGAATGGCCGTGAGGCGTGGGTGGATGCGTTTAAAGTGATCGTGGGACGACCCCTGGGGCCTGGTTCGGTGACAGGCTAGCTTGCGGGACGAAGTTGTCTTGCTTGTACCAATATTGGACTGCAATATTGGATTCTCGGCGCGATTTGCGGAGGACCAACCCTGGCGAGTCGTGGGGGCAGGTAACAGCAGCAACAACAACCAACAGCGGTTGCCTGTGGAATAGGTTGTGGACGTCGACAAGGGGCAGAAGAGAGAGGCGGATGGCCGAGCGAGGTAGGTCAAGTGGTTTTCTGGTCCTGGAGGAGGGATGCGAGAGAACAAGCAGCAGGAGGAAGAGTGAGACAAGTAAGGGGGTGGGATCGGCTAGACCACACTGAGGCGCGGAGGGATGTTGCGACTCTTATGCGTGGATGGCTCGAGAGAGGAGGGCCAGGTTACAACCGTGTGCCGGACCTTTCTCTCTTTTTTTCTTCTTTTCTTTCTCTCTCTTCCAGAGATTTAGGCGTCGGTAGTCGATGCGGGTTGGCCCAAACCGACTAGGCTGGGGGATAATGGATTGGGGGGATGGTGGGTAGCAAGCAGCTTTTTCTTGCTCGAGTGTGGGATTCTGGGCCGAAAGAAGGCTGGGATGTTTGGCCAGCTCGCGGGGGATTGCGTGTGGTGTGTGGTGTGGGTGTGCAAGAAGAGTGATGATGTGATGGGCTTGGCTCTTGATTGGCTTTGGCTGGTTGCAGGCTGTCCGGTTGACTTAACTTTTGATCCAAAGGAAGGAAAAGCTCGAGGTGTGTGTGGGTGGTGGGTTGATAGTGCGTGTGTGCGTGTGTGTGTGTGTGTGTGTGTGGGATGAGTGTGGGAGGAATCGGTAAAAAAAGAGAGTTGGGGGTGGTGGGATAGACGAGGATAAGGATAAAGAAGCTTGATCGATTGTGTGTATGTGTATGTATCGTACCTGTCTACCGGCGCAAGATCGAGATGGATGCTCGGGTTGGTTATTTACTTTTTGGTCAGAGTAGGTAGGTATGGATACGGAGAGTAGGTTGTCAAGAATCCATCCTATCTCCAGTCTTTTTTTTTTGTTTTTATTTATTTTATTTACTTTTTCCTGATCATCCCCTTCCCCGGGCAAAGAGTGAACAGAAACCGACAAGGAAGAGGATAGAACAAAAAAAAAAAGATCAAAAGAGGGACGATACACGTCTTTGCACGTTAAATCCCACCGTCAGACCATCCATGACGCTCAATGCCCCTAGACCCGACCAACTCTTGCAGCCGCGATAATAGGTCCGAAGACGGGGGTGGGGGGGACCCGAGCTTGGTATGACGCCGAACCGCCGTCCCACTCTTCATGGGTCGATTCTCTATCTCTGTCTCTCTCTCTTGCTGTGGCCAGTCTCCGTTTTCCTCCCTCGTGCCGTACTTACATCACGGGAGAAAACTACCCATGTTCCCCCCCATCGTACCTCATGGGGCCAATCGGCCAAGCATGGCCCCAGCGGCGGGAACATCAGCGTGCTGGGCTGGTTTGGCATGGCGGGGGAAAGAGGTTGCTGAGGCACACGGTGACAGCGATAAAGCCTCGCGGCAAACACCGCCAGAAACCAACCCTCCCCCTTCCCCCAAATGTACCAAGTATCAGTACTCGGTACTTGTTCCCCATCCGGAGTGGGGAGAGAGAGGGAAGGACGGTGAAAAGGGTTTTGCACCTCGTCTCGCGACTCAGCCAGAGCCCACAGTGGCCTCCTCAGGGTCTTTGCGGATCCTCGGCTCGGGCGACCGCAACGCCCATCACCGCTCTCGTCGGTCTTCTCACCGGCGAGCGTTTCGCTGTGTGGGGAAGGGCGGCATGTCATACACGGTTAAACTAATCGTACGTACTGCGTATGCTGGGCCGGGTCAGCCAGGGGGGCGTACCTGTACCTAGGTACCTAGGCTGGGGAGCGTGACGTATGTACCGGTACCTGCTTTTCTCTCTCTCTCTCTCTCTCTCTCTCTCTCTCTCTCTCTCTCTCTCTCTCTCTCTCTCTCTCTCTCTCTCTCTCTCTCTCTCTCTCTTGTGCCACTCTCTGGCTTCTTGCGCCTGCCGCTAGCATCTGGGCCATTTCTCCGCATTGTACTGGATCGCATCAAGCCTGTCCCTGCTGCCCACCGGGGCCCAGAATGGGAGCCAATGCACCGAAGCCGCTTAGAGGTCGTTCCATTGCGGCCTGCCTGGGACGACGATGACATGCTCCTGCTCCACTTCGCAGACCAAAACTGCACCCACGCCACGCCCATGTACTTGTTCTCCTCTGTGATGGGCATCTATGATGTTGGGCTGTCTGGCCCTGCCTTGTTGCGGAATGTCTCTTCTCTTCTCTGTGCGTCGGCGGGGAAGGGGGGGCCGATGGCCTCGATCAACAGTTCTCCCGGCAAGTATGGAGTAGGGTTCCGTCACAGTCTATAAACCATGTCCACATGTAGTCGTCAAATATGGGTGAGACCGGCAGCGCCTCTAGAGTCATTGGCTTTGTGGCTGCTGCTGCTGCTGCTGTTGCTGCTGCTGCTCGGGTGCGTCGTGCGTCCGTGTCGGTGCTGGCTGAACTCTATCTCGAATGGGGGAATTGCGGGGGAGGGAACGTAGGAATCACAAGCCTCGAAATTTCCATTAGGCAAAGGAGGGGAATTCGCAGAGAGGCGAGAACTCAAAAAACGAGCAGGCGGGCGTTGGCTCATGGTTCCCGTTTGCTTGTGATAACGCCCCCTTCTCTTCCTCCCCTTTCCGCTCCCCTTTTCCTTTCCCTGTTGCCGGGCTCCTGGAGGCTGAAGCCATCACCTCGCCGTACCTCGCGCGTCGTTGATGCAGCGAGGTACTTGGTACTCGATACTTGGTGCCTGTGCTGCTTGGCCTCCCACCCCGCGGTACACGTGACTATGTACCTAATGCACTTGATCCATTAATCGTTGACATAGGGCTGGGGAACTAGGAAAGAGCTAGCCGTCTAGGTACCAAGGCAACCAGATACCTACTAGTAAGTATCCGTACGCTACCGGTATCCGTATCGTACTGGCATGAAGAGACAGAGTGCTTTATGCGTGTGTGCTGTGAACTTGTGACAGAGAGGAGAGGGGACCATAATCCAACGCTAGCAGCGCAACGAGGATGTGGGGGGCCGGCTGCGGTGGAGACACGTGAAGAAGAGCCGAGCGACTGGTGACGGGACACCCGTTTTTTCCTTCCTTTTCTTCCCCACGCACGCTTCTGAGCTTGACCCTCGCCCCGCCTCGCCTCGCCTCGCCTCGCCTTGCCCTGCCCTGCCCTGCCTCGCTCCTAGCTCGTCCCTTCGTCTCTCTAATGCGTGCGGAAAATATCGGGATTGACATCTGGCAGACGCCCACTTTGCCCTCTGGGGTTTCCCCATGGCGCCCAGTCAGCCAACCGCAAAGGGTTTCCGTCCCTCGGAACACCTTCGGCATGAGTATACTCCGAGGCACGGCGGGTGGGCGGGTAGCATACACTAGAACGATGCTTATGTACCGATAGTAGAACCACTTTCTTCTGATCCAGCGGCGAGAATCGCGCAATCCCCACGCGATGCCGAAACGTACACGTGTAGATTTTCTTTTTATCCTCCCTCTTCTTCTTAATTCTCTTTTTTATGCCTTGGTGCCTTTTTATTCATCATTATGGGGCGGGGTTTTTCTTTTCTTTTCTTTTTTTTCTTAATCTCTCCTTCCCCTGGCCCAGTCATCGTCGACCCTTATGATCCCGCAGCATTCGGAATTGGTCCTTCCAGCATGCAGCCAAAGTAGCAACCTCGTTTGATTGTCCGGACTCTGGCCGTTTCTCCCACTGTCCCGCCAGACTGCGCGGGACGACGTGGCCGACCAAACTGGGTCCGGAGGATGATACTGCGTTAGTCGAATGGGCTGCAGACTCTGGCAGCAACGAAGGGAGGCATGACAACCTCGGAATGCCGTTAGCACCCTGGTGTCTGAGTCAACATCCCGAAATCACCATCGTCAGGCGCCGAGGAAGGGAAAAAAAAAAAAAAAAGAAGAAGAGGTCGAACTGGGTACCGAAAGACGGTCTTCCCTCACTGGACACGAGTGTGGGTAGAGGGGGTTTGATGGACTCGATCCATGGCGCCATGCCTGGCATCGGCCGTGTCTGTCGCAGGCACATATTCTTGCATCATCTGCACGAGTCGCGGCGGGAAATCTAGCCCCTCCCCCCCAATCGCCTGCGTGTGCCTGCCGCTACAACGTAGTCTTAGTAGTCTGTCTGCCTGTTTGTGCTGTCACTGTGTCTGTTGTTGTGGTAAAGAATCGCATCCCGGATCGGTCGATGCGTCCGGCTTGGCCCTGCGGGCGTGTCGGCTCTTCTCCTGCATCCACTCGAGGGCCATTGGAAAGTCCGTCCGGTGACAGAGGCTAAATAACGAGCAGCCGCCTGCGAGAAATTTATTCGACCCAAGGCACCGAAGTGGGATCGGTTCAATTCACCTCGCGACTTTCGGAAGGTCCGTCGGCCGTCAGATTGATTGATTGATTGATGTGTCGAGGGGCCCCCGCCGGCGAGACCCTCCCTCTCAAATTTTGCCGTGATTCGCCGTGATTCGCCGCGATTGATACGGAGCCACTTACCGACGGGGCCAACCTCTGCCATTGGGCTTCACCGACCGGGGTGTACCGACCTCACCTCGGGAGCCGCTTCGATTGAGTCGCGTTGCTCTCCGAGCCGGTGAGGAAATGTCGCACACTTCCCGTAAGACCTATTCCAGCCCAGCTCCCTCTCCCAAGTTGCATCCTGCCCGAAACACTCACCTGAAGCTGCATCGGCGTTAACCAAAAAAGAAGGGGAGCAATAGACATGGAGAAAGGGGAGGAAATCAAACCGGAAAGAAAGAAGGGGAAGAGGGGGGAAAAAAACGCACATACGAGACAGGGGACTAGGAGAAAATCCAGGGTCCATCTACAGCACCGCAAGCCCGCCCAGCTAGGTAGCGAGCGAGCGAGCATACTGCCCCGTGTATGAGGTACAGCCTATCCGGCGACTCCAATCCAAACCGGAAAACCGCCGTTCTGCATTCCTTGCATGGATGGCCTCCAAGGGGGAGGGAGAAAAACCTCATGCCAATCGCACGACTCTCACGCCGTTCCACCCATTCAGATCCTACCTCCCTCCCCTGTGCACACATCCGTATGCGCCGAGAAGAAGACGATAGTCCGAGAGAGGGGCCCTTATCTTGCATAGGAGACGCGGCAGATTACTCCGAGAGCAACGGATAGGCGGTGTAGAAAGCAGCGCATCGCAGCGAGAATCAATCAAACCCTCTTTGTTTTTACTGGCTGGAGGGCGTGGTGGTGAACTGCTTCGCTGCCAACTGACCAACCAACCACGAGCTGCCGTCCCTTTCGAGCCCTGACCTTGAACGCACGCTCTGTGTGGCCGAGGCATTCCGTTCCGCTCCCCTTTCTTCACGGACCACCAGGGAAAACGCGAAGGCCACCACCACCGCAACACGACGCACCACCACCCCCCCAAACGTCCAACAGGAAAGGAGCAAAGCCCACCCTCTCTTCCGGACCACCTACCCTGCACGACACCGCCTACCTCCGTCCACCAGCTCCGCATACCTCGGCCTGTCCGGGAACCCCCCTCCCCTCCGCCTCCAAGGTCCTCTCTCTCTCTCTCTCTCTCCCCGGTCTCGCGGGCCGTCACTTACATACGGAACGCGCGGGACCGCAGCCATGCCGAACCACACTTCGAGGAGCTGGTTCGCCGTCCCCGCCCCGGTCGCCGCCCTCTTTCGCCGCTTCCCCCTGGCCGTATATCCCGCCAACGACCTCCCCCTCCGGTCCCCATCCCGCGGCGACCTCCCGACCCTCTACGTCTTTGTCGCCGACGACGATGCCTCGAGGGGCCGGCCGAGCTTCAACCCCTCATGTCTAAAGTGGCAGGTCCGTCGACACCTCCCCCCCCCAAAATGCGCCGTAGTATCTCCAGCTAACGCACCTCGCCGTCGAACCGCAGACGTTCCTCAAGATCGCCGGCGTAGAGTTCCGCATCCTCCCCTCGACGAACCACGCCTCCCCCTCCGGCGCCCTCCCCTACCTCCTCCCGCCCGCCGCCCCCCTCCGCCCCGTCGCCGGCGCGAGCAGGCTCGAGTCCTACGCCCTCGAGAACTCCCCCATCCCGCGCGAGAAGCGGCCCCCCCCGCCGCCCGCCGACCGCCTCGACGCATACCAGGCCCTCCTCGACACCCGCCTCCGCACCGCCTGGCTCTACGCCCTATACCTCGCCCCGGGCAACGCGGCGCTGCTATCGCGCCTGTACGTCCGCCCTGCCTCAAGTAACCCGCTCGTCCGCCTGGCCCTGGCGCACCAGGTCCGCTCCGCCGCCGAGGCCGAGGTCCTCAAGTCCACGCGCGCCGCCGCCGTCGACCCGACGAGGGTCTACGCCGACGCCCGCGCCGCATTCGAGGCCCTCGCCGCGCTGCTCGACGAGAACGGCGCCGGCGGCAGCAGGGAGGGGCGGTGGTTCTTTGGCTGCCAAGAGCCGACGCTCTTCGACGCCTCCGTATTCGCCTACACGCACCCGCTGCTCGACGGGGACCTCGGCTGGGCCGACCGCACCCTGCCCGACATCCTGGCCGGCTTCCCCGGCCTCGTGAGGCACCGCGAGAAGCTGCTGGAGAGGTGTTTCCCCGACGACGACGAAGGGGTGCTCGTGTAAGGGGAGGACTTGGGGAGAGACGGCGCCGACCAACTGGCCGAGAGCGGAAGATTGGGAAAGGGGGAGAGAGGACGTCAGTGAGGGCGACTTTGTATGATACCTAAAGAACAACCCCCCCCTTCCCCCTCTGGGGTCTGTGTGGGGGACGGCCGTAGACCGAGTGAACGAGCGGTGCTAGCATGCCGACACCACATCGTATAGATTCCTACCTGTGCGAGCGAACGGCTTGCTACCTTACTACCACCACAACAGACCTTCGGCCGCGACCGGCCTCCGCCGGTTTGCACGAGTCTCAATGACGAGTGTCAAGTTGGTAACCGCTTCTCAACCGGCGTCTTATCTTGCCCGTAGCGTCTCCCTTTTTGCTTCCTTCGTCAACGCCGTCTTGTCATTCTCGGCGGCTGCGATGTACCATAGATGTCTCCAAGTAGTTAAGGGCAGCCAGAAAAGGCAACAGGCCAAACTCGGCGACAGCAGCGCAACCGAAAAAAAAAGTCGGCACTGCGTACATGCAAGACAGTCATTGATAACATCTTTATTTGTGCAGCGGCGTCAGACGCCCCGAGCGTGACCTATGTAGACTACCCCAACCGCCTACCAAATCGCCCAATGCAAAAACCCCCCTCAAAGCCGACTGTAAAGCTACCGTTTCCACTCCAACACTAAGCCTGACGCCGATGATATGATGGTAAGAAAACAAAATTAAACACGAAATAAGGAGAATGAGAATGGTCTGAAGATGCGTTGAGGCTTCACAGAGCCGCCAAACCCTCTAGAAAGGCTGCGACTTCGGTATTTCTTCAATGACGTCCTGTAAAGAGACAAAAGCGCCTGGTCCGCCATTCTCTCGCAGGTCGTCTAGCAGCACGCTCGTCTGAGCGTAAATCTTTTCGAGAGCTGCACGAGAGGATTTACCCAATGACACTGCACACGGTTAGTTGTCGCACTGGCTGTGGCATTATGTTGCGGGACTTACGAAGAATCGCCGAATTAAGCTCTTCTGCAACTGCCAGACGACCTTTCCTGTCGAGCAGATGGGCAACGTCTTTCTCCCTCAGCGGGTTTGCGTACGCAAGAAGCGCATAAATGTCCGCCAAGTGCTTTGTGACCTCTCGCCTGGGATCGTCCTTGAACTCGGCATGAAGCTCCTGCCCGTATTGCAGGGTCGCCATTTCCAGTTCGTTGATATCGAGAGGGGTCTCGGCAGAGTCTTCGGTGTCCATCTGGTCCCAAGCACCATTCTCAGTACCGTTGGCGTCAAGGTCCATTGCCTGGGCGCCAACATCGCCGCCGTGACCATTGCTCTTCTTCGCCTCTGACACCACCCTCATTTCGGCAGCGGTCCGGACCATCTCGATAAACTTGCGGCACCTTAGCCGGAAGTATACCTGCTCATTATCTTTGAGGACCTGAGGGTAAAATGCGTTGGTGTGCTTAAGAGCTCTGTCAATATCGCCCTCGAGTACAGCTCTTCGGATCCCTGTAGTCATTAGCGATGTCCGGGCTTGCACGTCTATGCAGAACTCACGTTGGCGCTTGTTGGCATGCTCGTCATCCTTAACATTGATGCCCTCGATGGGGGCATTCGGATCGAGGCACAGTGCCTTCTTCTCGGCATTGATTTCTTCTGCAAATGCTCTTGCCGTCTCGACATAACCATCGTGCTGAAGAAATTGCAGAACCTGGCTGGTGGTCAGTCTAATATTCAATGTGAGTGGACCAGCATGAAACTGCACTCACAAGCGCTTGAACCAACCCGGTTTCATTCATCGTTGGCGCCAGACTCGCTGAGCTTGTCTGCGAGATCTCCCGTTGGATACGCTCCTTTTCTTTCTGCAAACAGACTGTCAGTTATTTCCGTCATATTATCATCCAATCTGCACCGTGACGCTTCTACAGCATCCAAGAACTGAGTTTTGGTGACTTGGAATATGAGCAATGTTGATACCGCCCTCCACGAACACATCGGCGAGCAGTATCATTGGCAAGGCCTTGGGGAAGAGCAACTAGGCAGTCCAAGTGGATGTCCCGGTTGGATGAGATGCACGGAAGAACGAAATGAGAATCAAAAACTCACTGTCATCATGCCATCAATGTCGAAGACGAAGGGGGTCTGGCCAAAGTTTACACGGACGTGCTCTCCAGACTTCTTCAACCCAACAGTTGGGTACAGGCTGCCCGATTTTCCGACTTCGCGAAAGGCGGTGCCTAAAAGGTGGCCATTCTTTGTGAAGAAAGCGCTGCCAGTCCGGAAGTTGACGCCACAACCGATAATATCAGACGCGGTAAAGGAAGGGCCGTAAGTCTTTCCGCCGCTCTGGCCCGCATAGCAGTGGCCGTCGTCACTGTGATAGCCCCAAGAATCTGTTTCCCAACCAGGGGGTCTTGAGAGTCCTACGTTCTTGCCAGAGAATCCGATACCGATGGTCATGCTGTGAAATGAATTAGAGCCTTGACGCTTCAAGCATGACCGGGAAACTTACTCATCCCGCTTGCCCGATAACACCTGGACCTCAAAGTAGTAGATGCCGCACTGCGGGGGCATGGGGTGGTCGGCACGTATGCAGAAAGCCTCGTGGTCACGCTCCGTCTGACCTCTTGGCCCGATGTATCTGACCTCGAGGCCGTCGGACAGGATATCAAGAGCACCGTACTTGTCGGAACTGTTCCACCTCGTGGGTAACGGGGCGAACGTTTCGTCTTCCTCGAAAGTGGGAGGCTTCTCGATGACATCGTAGTTCACTCCCCGGTGGGCACCCGGCTTGCTGTGAAGACTGACGCTACTTGCGCTCGTAGACAGGTTCGCGCCGGCCTGTGCCTGGGCTGCCTGGGACTCCTTCTGCGCCCGTACCTTTGCCCAATGCGCTTCCTCCAGCCGCTGAACATGTGCCGATCCCGCCAAATACGATGGAACGAAGAAGCCGCTCCCACTTGCACTGCTAGAGCCCGCAGTTTCACCCAGCGGGTTCGCCATGAACATATCAAAGGCCCTCGAAAAGGAGGGGAGCTGGAAACCACGCAACGGCCTCGCGGACGCGCCACTCAAGCCGGCGCCGTTCCTGCCCGTATCCATGTCGTCGCTCCTGCTCGGGTTGTAGTAGGCCGAGGCCGGCTCGAAGGTGATATCGTCGGAGCTGTTGAGGATGTGGGAGATGACCGAGGTCCGACCGGGATGTGAGAGGTAGGGCGGGTTATAGTTTGGTGGCGCTCCCGAGACGACTGAAGCGTAGGAGAAACGGCGGGGGGGAAGACTAGAGGTTCCCGAGGGCGAGTTTGGGTCGGTGTAATGTGCAGGACCATGGAACGGGTTCGTCATGGTGAGGGGTCGAGATTCGTGAAGGGGTCGACGTGCTCGGTGCACGTATGGCACCTTGTACGTAACGGGAGCTTCGCAAAGCCCCGAGAAGCTACAGTAGGAGCTTCTCAGGATTGTTGCTTGAGCGACCACCGTGTCTCGCTTCTTCGGTATCGAAGTCGGAGTTTCGGACAGGCCGTCAAGGGTCGTCGAGTGCAGCGGACAATGGGCGTGGAAATGGCGTGCTGGGAACGAAGGTTCGCGTTGAGTCGGACTATTACGATGGACGTGTGGCTGGTCTAGCGGATTGATCCGGGTCGTTAAGGTTCGCTTGGCTCTTAAAAAATGACTGGCTGCAACTGCACAGAAGAGACGACACGTCGAGTGTGCTAGAATGGGGCGCCGGACAGCTCGTTTATCATGATACCGGAGTGATGACAAGTCGAAAGATGGGGGTTGGATGAGGTCAGGTCGGGTGCTATGGCAATGTGGAGAACGGGGGGGGGCGGTACAAAGTATACCGGCAAGGTACGGACGGGGTGCAGGCAAGGTAAGGTAGGTAGGTCAGGTAGTACGGGGGGTTTAGGTATGTAGAGGGGATGGAGACCTATCAAGGTAAGGAAGGCTCAGGAGCATGAGGTGGTGGACGGAGCGTGTGGGTAGTTGAGTTACATCCATGCGAAAGTCACAGTGCAGTGACGGAAGTGAGGTTCAGCGCGCGGACAAATAATAGATGGGTGTGTCTTGCTGGGATTCGCTTGGCTTGGCTTGTCCCGAGCGTGTCCGCCGTCGTTCTCGTTGCTAGACGCTGCTAAACAATCACGAGAGCTGGTCATTGTTAGAGGCTAATCAGTCAGTTGAGGCGCCAAACGGGGTGGCCAGTCACAGCAGGCGTAGGTAGGTAACTAATCGTACGGCCTGGCAGGACTCGCCAGGGATTGACACGGTGCTATCGATGGCTAGGCTCGTCTATCCACTGTCCCCTGACTTTCATGGGGGGGGGGGGGAGGGTGTTGGCTTGTCTTGGAGTCGAAACATGAGCAAAAGAGGAGCTATCTATCCTACAACATAATAAGAGGATTACCAGCTTGTCGTGGGGATTGAATTAGTCTCTTTGAAATCCCTTCGAGACTAGCCACTCCTTTTTTTCTTAAAAAAAAAAAATGAACAAAGAGCAGCCCGAGAGCAGCCTCCCATCGAGTGAGACGCCAACTGCTGCGAGATTCTCAAAGGAAAGAGGGATGGCGAAACGTTGTCGTCATGCACCATGTCCACACTGTACACCATGCTGCTGCTGCTGCTGCTGCTCTTGCTGCGGGACGAGCGGCCGAGAAACCTGGCTTGATTAGATTCTTAGGTAAGCAGTCTAAGCCGGACACACTTATGTAATGATTATCACGTGATCTGTCCCAACCACCAACGTCGCTTTTCTCGGCATCCTCCATCGCAAGGAGTCAAACAGGATGGATGGGGGAATCACGAAAGGGGGGACCAATGCGTTTTTCCCTGCCCCCCCTCTTTCGCATACTTTGCCGATGCTGGGTTCCCACTTGTCTGCGGTCAGCGATGAATTGTGCTAGCAACCGCACGTAGCGCCTCCAATTGTCCCTCTCTTCCCATGAGCACCGTCATCTTGGGTTGTCGATGCACTCGAACAAATTAAACACATAACAAGGTCCTGGGCTGCGTTACCAGTCGCCCGTGATCAATGCAGGCGATCTGCAAACCCAACACGCGGCACCACTCCCCCCTAGATTGCCAGACTAACCTCACTGATCGCACATTAATTTCATGATTCGTCTCTGATTCGGAAGGGGTTTCCAATATCCGAGGGTCTCGGCACGACACCAACCGATTACATTTGCTCGAATCAAATCGACTCATAAATTGCATCGCATCCACCCTCGGTTGCTACAAAGATTTGGGACGTGAGAATGGTATCAACCGTATGGCCAGTCGGGATTCCTTCATGCTTGCGCCAACGCTGTAATATACACTTTGTGCCTCCATTCCGGGCAAATGCCGCTCTACCCTTGGCAGCTTCCTTGCTGAACCTAATACCATGTGCCCGTAACGCCGGCGGACTGCTGCCGCGCGAGAAACTCCCCGTTCCAAAGACTGACTGCAGACGCGACTCGTGCCTTTCTGAAATGCTGTCTGTCCGAGACCCCATTGCCCTTAAAAATCCTCAAAACTCCAAGATGTTGTGTACACATGTGGGATAGACCACCTTCGACACCTGTCAATGGCATGAAACAAACGAATTCGCGAGCAGCCGGGCGTCTATGACGCGGCAGTAATAGCCATAGGTCCCGGCGAACTCGCCGGGACGCTGCCTTGCGCGCTCCGCATCTCAACGTCGGCGCCGCTGTTGGCGGCACTATTGGCGTCGCTCTTGATCTGGTCGTTTTCCTTATTCTCCTTGGTGCTGCTGTCGACGGAAGCCGCAGCAGAGTCTCCGGTGCTGGACTCGGGCGCGGTCTTGGGCGGCGCGACCCATCGAGGGACTTCCCAGACGATGCCCGTGAAGCTCTTGAGCGTGAAGCCGCCCTTTGCCCACTTGCGACAAGGCTTGCCAGATCGGTCGAGAGCCCGAAGACCGGCGTTAATGGCACCTTGGTTCGCCTTGGGTCCCAACTTGTGTCCGCCAGGGCCACCGCGGGCATTCGGATCGATTGTGCCATCCTCACTGCAAGAGGGAAAGAGGTTAGCATGAATCGGTATGATGAAGTAGTGTGTGGGAACATACAGGCGCGCCTTCTTCTTGGGTCCCGGCTTGCCTCGAACCTTGGGCTGCCCATCGGGGCCGACTCCGTTGACAGCGCCAGCGCCACGCTTGATGCCCTTCTTCTTGACTCCTTCCATGGGAGGGCCCATTGACGTGGGCGCAGGAGTGCCGTCACCAGCAGGCGTGCCAGGGTTCGAGTCGGATGCAGTTTCTCCGTTGGCGGCAATCGGCGCAGGCAATGTCGTTGACGTAGCGGGAGAGTCCTGAGATTCTTGCGTTTCCTTGGTTCCATTTGTCTCGTCAATGTCCATCTTGACGGGCGAATCTTCCTTGGGGGAGGCGGGTTCGAGGATATTCTTCAACTTGTCGGCACTGACAGTCAGGGTGACGACGAGAAGGTCGCCCTTACCCCCGTTCGACTTGCGTCGGCTGACAGATGCGGTAGGAGCCATTTCGATGTATTGGCTGCCGTTTGATGAATATGATGGATGCGAGTTAAGCGTGTTAGAGCAAAGATGAAGAAGGGCGAAAGATCGATGGGGAGGAGGTGGAAAGCTCAAGGGGGAGTGTTGGCTTTGTCGTAGGCAGCTGCTTTGATGGATGGGGTGGCGGTCGAGCCAGTCATCTAACGAGCCACGGGTGATGATATGATCTGGTGGGTAATGGGTTGGGCAAGGTGGGTGGGCGGTGCGTTGCCGCTGGTGTTGCGATTGCGGTTGCGGTTGCGGTTGCGGCTGTGGCTAGTTGGGTGAGCGGTGCGGTGCGGTGCTGTGCGGTGCGATGCGGTCTGGTCTGTCTGTATCGTCTAGCAGATTATTTCGCGTTGGCGACTCGTACAGCCGACGGCGAGGTGATGATGGCGTGGGTTGGCGATGGGTGGAATGGGAGGGTGGATGGGAAGACGAGATGGGGAGGAGAGAGAATTTTTATTTTATGGGGGAGTCCATCTGGTAAGTTTGGCGGCGTCTCATTTTCGAGAGAGCGCCAAACCAGGCGGCGTGACATCTCATGCTGGGTTGGGTGCGGTGCTGGGTGCGTGGTGCTGGGCTCTCGCTCAAGAATCGACCTCCAGCTTTCGCTTCTCTCGCGCACCTGCCCTCCCACCACGGGCAGTTGTGGGTAAGCAAGTAAGAGACCAATAAGCTGGGGAGGGTCCGTGACCGCCGACCGGAAAGGGATGGCCGCACGCTTCCAGACTTCCAGAGCTGAGGTAGGTACAGAGGTACATCCGATCCTTCCTTCCTCCGAGCCAGATGATACGTACCACTGTATCCTCCGCCTCTCTCGTCAACAGGGTGATGATTTGAATGCGTCCATCTCACTGCATCTTGGACCTTGACCGGCCTCTGGCCTCGGCAGAAACTGGGAATAGGAAGCTCAGTAATACACCACACACTGTACACCACGCACACACAGACTTTATTTTTGCCCCCTTTTCGTTATACTGTCTGTACCTTTGCTTCTTCTCGTCCGAAGCCCCCCCCCTTTTTTTCCCCCCCTCTGGTCTCTACAGTCCCTTCCCAAGCCCTGGTCTTGCCTTTGCTTCACTTTCGTTCGCGTCGTTGTCTGGTGCCTCAGGCTGGCGGTGGTCATCGTGTATCCGCACCGCACCCTTCCACTCACATCGTCTGGTCTGCTTGTCAAGGCGAGGGCGAAACACTTTCAGCACCTCGCGACATGGCCCAGCTGCCACTTACCAATTCCAGCATGGCTTGACTCGAAAAAATGGCGATAACACGCTATCTTGCTCTCTCCACAACACCTCCCGGAACACCGGACGATGATCCTTGGCCCTTTCAGACTTTGTACGGAGCATTGCGAGTTATTTCCCTCAGGGGCCACGCATCCGCAACCTGGTACAGCACACAATGCACAACCCGGATTACAGCATTCCGCACCCTCGGTGGTGCATGCTCTTTGAGCGATGCACCTATACCAAGCCAATTGCCGATCGTGAAGAAACCGATATATTCCTTAGCTATCCCCAGGTCGTTGTGACGGCTGTCGAGATGGCTGATGCCGATGCACCCTGCGAAGAGACCGTCCGGGTGGAACAACGCGTTGGACACTGAACGAGGATCAAGGGGTCAGCAAACAAGTCTCAAACTCACATACCCAGACAACCTTGGTCTACGCTTGGCTGGTGCTTTCCAGCACTTTGTCCAGGGCGGCGCAGAACTCTGAATTGGTGATGGCGACCTGCAGGTTTCCGACTCAGCCTGGAATCCCCTTGGATCCCTCCTTGATTTATGAACTCTACGTACCCGGAGCTCTCGCCTGTCAGCAGGCCACTTCAAATGTTGCCGCCCCAACTGCTTCATGAAACTAAAAGACGGGCTGTCAGCCCTCAGTCAACCTGTTGCGCCAACGTCACTGTCAAAAGGTGCGGCCTCGGAATCAAACACCAGCAGAACGGCAGGCGGGTTAGATCGTGAAGAATGACGCCCAGCCGAACTTGACTCGCAGCCTACTGGAACGACCCTCTCAGCTGTGATGCGGACAGGACCGAGACACCAGCGCAATTTGCCTGCTTCATTTCGATATGCGAAAGGGGCTGCTTCTCTGAATAATTACGATCCACCCAAGGGAGGCTTCACAGCTACGTGTCCAAATCTTTGCTTACCATTGCACCTTCCAGAAACCCACAAATGATTGAAAAGGAAGCCAGTCATCACTAGTTGCAACAACAGCGCCAGCCTGCTGGCGACCCGGGAATGGACGCCCTATCATATAGAAATGGGGCAACGAAGACTTGCTGCATCTGCCGCGGTCATACTCCCTGTCAGATGGATACAAGAAAACAAAAGCTTTCGACCCGAACGCCAATCTCACCTGACAAGAGCCAATCGTACTTCCAAAGTTCAGACATCTCAGCCCAACACCTATAAAAACAAAGAGACTAAAGTGGCGCAAGCCTGGATGGAGATGAGTCTAGTACTCAGCAATGGTGAACCCACCTATGTAGTCGCTTGGTTCCCATGGAAGACGCGAAGAAGACCATGGCTTTCAATTTAACAGCACCCATCCAGTCCATCGTTGTTGCACGATCACGAAGCGAGGCTAGACGCTACCGCCGCCATGACCGATCTTTTGTCAATTAATCCCCAGGGACAACGGACTTTTTGCTTGCTTGCCAACCCTAACCGGAGAAGAAGCATCACCTCTAGCATTTATGAAGAAAACAGCCGACGGCGAACATCCACACAGCCTACCAGTTATCCTTGTTTCAATACAGTGGTGACCACGAGCGGCATTCACCATCAGAGCATCCCATCGAATTGGCGTTTGGTCCGTTACCCGACCGCATCGGGATAATCTATGTCTACTATGTATCCCTAGCGTTCACGGTTGATCAATTATTGTCGCGACATGTACCAACGAAGACTCGTACTGTCGTCATCTTGAAGCCAAACTTCGTTGTGCTACCCCGAAACTACCTCATCCTGCACGGCTCCATTGACAGGAGATACTTTCGTGAATTGCGTCGTCATCTTGACTCTTGTGTGTCACGCTTCGTGCTTTGTCACCCGAGCCACCATCCCAACAGCACCAGCAGCCGTAATCACCGAGGGGAAGGCAAATGTCTTCCACCAACACGCTTACGAGGCCTCGAAGGCAATCCACCAGCGCAGTCATTGGATACTAGTTCATGGGAAGACAAGTGTTGACAGTCTCAACAACGGCCCACAGTTGATCTGTCATTGACCGAGGGACGGTGCTCCGCGAGGAATGTAGCCACATCATCAGTCATTGACGGGTCACTGGAATGCGTTACCATTGTTATGCTGCTGGCAACGCCACACAAACTATATCATGGGCTCGAGAAGTCTCGATGCTGCCGGACCTGATGGGTGAACCATCTCTTGCTCACCAAAGATTCCAAAATGCATTACATTAACAAGATTCTTCACTTCTGCGTCGCTCTTCAAGTCGTCTTTAAGGGCGCGTCCGGTGCGATCCTCCGCGGACGGACTAGCGGCGCCGATTCGGTCCAGCTTTCACCAAGCAACGCCGATCTATTCACTGAAGCTGCCGACCTCGATAATCAGCTAGACAGTTTTCTGAGGAGCTGGGCTGGTGGCCATCGCAAACCCGACATTGTTGAAATTGCGAACATCGCGAAGAGGCAAACCGGCAGTATTCAGATCTCCTCGGAGGACCTCCAGGACCTTCTGAGGCTTATTCAGTCTATCGAGCGGCAGCTTTCGGCAATCATTGCGTCCGGAGGCAGTTCGGCGAGTGGAACTGTTGCGTCGCCTGTATCCAGCACGGTCAGCAACGCGGTTCCGGCCAGTTCGGCGATTGAAACTGTTGTGCCGCCCGTATCCGACACGGTCAGCAACACAGGCCCGGTCAGTTCGCCGTCAGCGTCGTCAAACGAACAGTCGACCGACACTGGAACCAACCCAGCCGTCACCATTGTAAGTGCTCTAACCCCCAGCCCCTTTCTGACAAACAGTGGTGCAGGCAATAGTGAACCCCTTACCACGGCATATGCAACATCAGTTATGACTACTACACAATGCAAAACAACAGTCACTCGAACTTACACCACATACGTGTATGAGGAGAGTCCCTCAGCGGTGCCCCGAGCCGTTCGGGCTGTTGTCGAGGACGACGACGACATCGGTGGTCCAGATCCCAGCCCAACGCATGATCTTGAGCAAGACGACGAATGGGAGCCTTGGGTCGAGTTTGACGGAACGACGGGTGACGAGGACGGCTCCGATGTTGGATTCACTACACGCGACACCTGGACCTCCTTGGGATTGACGCGTCGTGCCCCCGGAGGTGTTTCCTCCCACGCCGAAGCCCTCTTCACTCGTGACGACGGAAGCCCTTGAGAGCCAACTTCTGGCTCAGGTGAGTTTCTTGTCTTGCATGCGAGAAATCATCTTGCTCATGTTTTGGCAGTGCATTTTTCATGGCTTGAAAATTTGATGACGAGCAAGAATGGACAACGACAGATTATGATGAAAGATTTCCATGAACGATTTTTACGATACTTGAGACGATCATTTGACGCAAGGAGGGTACATGGAGAACATGGAGCTGCTATATCTTTTTCCAGCGATACACAAGGGAAACTACAGGTCATGTGCTGCATCTTCAACAGGTGGGCACTGCAACTGGCCTTATCACAGAGCACTCATTAATTGCACATTGAATTTTCTTATCGGCTTAACAATTGTCTTGCCTAAATCTGTGTGAAACCTGTTAGCGTCTCAGACCATTTAGGCCGGGCCCGTGTTCCCAGAGGCCGGAACGGTTCCGGCCACGCCGGCCATTATCGGTAGAAAAGCGGGGCCAGCGAAGTTCATTACTCAACCACAGAACCACAGAACTCGGCATCTCGGACAACGAAGAGCCTCGTAATTGCTGAGAAAAAACTTTGTGCATTTGTTCTCAGCGTCTTTCCCGAAGAAGAAGTATGACAGGTGGTCATATGGGGTGTACGATGGGGCGCACCTGGGATGCGGGAGCCTGTGAGGTGCAGAGCAATGCCGCTTATCACGGTCAACGAGCGGATGCAAGGGCTTGGCCGGCAAGAAGGGGGGAGCGAACCCATGGTCTTGGTTGTCTAGATACGCCCGTGTGACCAGGTAGACTAGGATGATATGACAAACAGAAATGGAATGGGCGCGGCGGGCGGCGAACGGGATGCTTTGTGTCATGCTCCGTGGCCGGAGTGAATGGTGCACCCCCTCACTTGAGGCCGGAATCGATTCCGGCCACGAAGTATATACACGGCGCCGAGTGGCGTCAAGGCAGCCATTCGAACTTTCACTCGCATCCATCCAGCGCCTACAACGAGAAAGCACTCTCTGGGCTTTGCATCACATTATTCTGCAATTTTTTGCGATTTTCTCCTATCCTTTTACATAGGCATATCACTTATACACACTTCGTTGAGTCGTGTTAGTCAACTTACACGACTTTGCATCCAACCCCTAAGCGAATTCGTCCATCACATACAAATACGCAGACACATACATATATACACAAAACAGGAGCAACACACCCCCATAAACCCATAACCCACCACTGCAACCCGCATACTTCTTCCACTTACTTCACCCCCACGCATTCACTCACCCCGGGTCTTCTTTCACAATGGGATCGATCGACTCCACTCCCTTCCCTGTCCTCGATGACCCCCGTCCCGAGGACAACTCCCTCCCGGCCTTCATGGTCTCCACTACCCGCGGCTTCCTTCCCCGTGCGGACCCTGTTGCCGTCCTTCCTTCCGAGTTCGCCCCGCTCGAGGACATACTCTCCCGCATGCCTGTCAAGAAGCTTGACGGCACGCCGGGCCTGCTGGCCTCATCCAAGCTGGGCGAGACGGTCGACGCCGAGTTCCCCGACCTGACCCATGCCATCGACAAATACAAGGACAACCTGCCTGTAAGCATAGATGCACAACCGCGCTACCCGGTTTACCCCCTCTGACCTTGGAAACAGTTGATGAACGCCCTGTACCGTGACTACTCGTTCCTCGCGTCCGCATACCTGCTCGAGCCCTGCCACGAGCGCTTCGTCAGGGGTGAGGGGTACGGCCTCGCAAGGGATCGTCTGCCCCGGAAAATCTCAATGCCTATCGCCCGCTGCGCTGAGCTGTAAGTCCACGCTCTCCTATTTCCGACCTCCCCCATATCTCTCAATCCGCCCTGTTGCAATCACTAACAAACACGAAGCACCGGCTTCAAGCCGTGGATGGAGTACGCCGGATCCTACGCCCTCTACAACTACCGCCTCGAGGATCCTTCCAAGGGCCTGGAATACTCCAACGTCCGCCTCATCCGCGCCTTCGAGAAGGGCCTCGACCCGACCTCGTCCGAGGCCGGCTTCGTCCTCGTCCACATCGCCATGGTGAAACACACCGGCGGCTTGGTCAAGGGCACGATGGACGCGCTCCGCTCATCCGCCTCGCCCGGCTCGCCCCTGGACCGCGCCGTCCTCAACCGCGGCCTGTCCGAGGTCCTCGCCGCCCTCCGCACCATCAACAACACCATGGAGACCATGTGGGACAAGTCGCGGCCGCAGAGCTACACCAGCTTCCGCACCTTCATCTTCGGCATCACCAGCCAGAGCATGTTCCCTAACGGCGTCGTCTACGAGGGCGTCAACGGCGACGAGCCCATGTCCTTCCGCGGCGAGTCCGGCGCCAACGACTCCATCGTGCCCCTCGTGGACAACCTCCTCCAGGTGCCCATGCCCGACACGCCCCTCACCGAGATCCTCAAGGACTTCCGGTCCTACCGTCCCAGCAACCACCGCCAGTTCCTGATGCACGTCAAGGACCGCTCGCTCGAGGTCGGCCTCAAAGACGCCGCGCTCGCCACGAAGCTGTCGGCCGACGGCCTCACCGAGAGCGAGAGGGAGGCCGTCCGAGAGTCTCGCCGCCTGTGGCTCCTCATCCTGCACCAGGTCCGCGACTTCCGCTGGCGCCACTGGTGCTTCGCGCGCGAGTACATCCTAAAGCGCACATCCCACCCGACGGCCACCGGCGGCAGCCCCATCGTCACCTGGCTGCCAAACCAACTCGAGGCCATCCTCGTCGAGATGGAGGGCCTGTACGAGGCCGTCGGCGGCGGGAACAAGGGCGACTGGGACCTCGGCGAGGAGCTGCGGGATGTCATGGACCTGGTGTCGAGGCAGAAGCACACGCTGCGGAAGGAGGTGGCCAAGTACTGCGCCGAGCGCGGCGTCAATACGCCCTTATCTTCCTCGTAGACAAAGGAGCTGCGGGCGCAGGTTATCGTTGGGAAGGGTGCGGTGTGTGTATGTGTGTGTGTGTGTGTGTGTGTCACATAGCGAGTCTCATGCAGATAACGTATTCAAGCAAGTCTATCAACCCAACCAGTCTATCATCGCCCCGTACGCTGCTCCACCATGTGACTGTACATCGCGGGCGCGCTAAGGGACGCAAGTCATGCCTTAGTTTTGCATTGCCTTATCCATGCTTTTCCTCCACCTGGGCGCGAACCTCCTCAATGTCCAGACGCAGATGTAGCCCGACACCCACGTGAAGATGCCCAGGATTGTGAACAGCCAGCCGTTCCCGATGGCGCTGATTAGGGGTTGCGCAGCGACCGCGCCGACGCAGCTGAAGATGTTCCTGACAAAATTGTTGACCGCGACGCCGCCCGAGCTGCGTTTGGGCATGAACTCCGTTAGCATGGTGGTGGCGGCGCCACTACGGGAGAAGCGATGTTAGCCGAGATCGGACGGACGATAAGGAGCAGAGCCGACGGAAGTGTGTGTGTGTGTGTGTGTGTGGACCAGCAAATAACTCCCGAAAAGAAAAGGGGAAAAAAAGGAAGAAAAGAAAACCCCCTCTCCGGAGGGGGACGGAAAACTTACAAGACGAGCATGGAGCTGGCTCCAAAAGTGAAGAGACCGATACACGGCACGAACCAGAAGAGACCCTTCTCTACCACCCAGCCGTAGTAGATCAGGGACGCAGGGTACACCGTCGCAGCGATCCAGATGTTCTCGCGCATCCTGTCCTCCGGGAGCAGGATCAGCTTGCCGTCGGCGTCGTAGCGGCCGGCCTTCCTAGCCTCCCTCGCCATAATGACGTCGAGCCAGCGGCCGCCGAGCAGCGAGGCCATGAAGTAGCCCAGGCCGGCGGGGAAGTAGAAGAGGCCGATGATGAGCTCCCCGAAGCCGTACGGGGCCGCCGAGAGCGTGGCCTGGACCGAGATGTTGACGAAGAAGAGGGCGCCGAAGGTGATGGCGGCGAAGAAGACGGTGATGGCGACGGGCGGGAAGCGAAGGTAGAGCAGCACCGAGAGCGGGTCGAGGAAGGACTTCTTCAGGAACGCCGCCGCCTTTTTCGAGCGCACCTTGACCGACTCGGTCGTCCTCGTACGGGAGAGGGTGACCTTGCCGCCCTCGGAGGCGGCGCGGGCGGGGGGCGCAGGCGGCTTGGGCCGCGCCAGGGTCTCGGGGAGGCAGAAGAGGATCATGACGAGGACCAGGCCGCCGTAGATGGACAGCGCCCACATTGTCGACCGCCACCCGAAACGCTGTGACAGTGCTCCGCCGATGATGGGCTATATGAGTGAGAGAGAGAGGGTCAGCGGCCCGGCAGGCGCGTCGCTCAGCGGGGATGACGCGGGCGGACTTACAGCCAGGAGGGGCCCGGTCAGCGGGCCGAGATAAAAGATGCTCATGGCGCGGCCTCTTTCGCGCGGCTCCCAGATGTCCGCGATGGTACCGGCCCCGACGGCCTGGACGCTGGCGCTCGCGCCCCCGCTGAAGAGGCGCATCACGATAAGCATGCTGATGTTCACACTTACGGCACTGAGGATGGAGAAGACGACAAAGAGAGTGAAGGACAACAGGTAGATGGTCCGGCGGCCCAAGGTCTCTGAGAAGGACGACCACCACAGTGGGAAGATGGCCATCGCCAGCATGTAGAAGGCCACAGACAAGTTGGTGATGGTAGGCGAGACGCCAAACTCTTTGGCCATCTCCGGCAGGGCGGCTTGCACATGTTAATGATGATTCAAAACGAGGCCCTGGAGGGGGGGGGGGGGGGCGTCTTGCGCAGCTTACGATAGAAGATGGATGAGCCCATGGGGGAGACGGCGGCGGCAAGAGCGACGATGAGTGTGATTGTCCATTTTGTCTTGGCGTGATACGATACAGGGTTGTCCACTTCCGGGATGGCGGCGAGCTGGGCGAAGAGGCCGCGCCTCTTGGACCTGGGGACGACGGAGAGGGCGCGGGAGCGGGTGGATGAGGCGCGGGACCGTGGCCTCACCGGGACGTCGCCGGCTGCCGGGTCCCCGCCGTCCGGCTCGACACGGGACCTGCCCCCATCCCGGCCGACCTCGATGATCTCGTCCTCGTCATCGTCGCTGCCGCTCGATTGACTCGGCTCGTCGCCGCGGCTGGGAGCGTCGTCTGGCGGAAAAGCGTCCTTTTCCGGGTCGCGTGGTGTGGTGGCGGTCATGGTCGAACGCCGAATCGGTGCCGAAGCGGGCTCACCAGTGAGCTCCCCGCGCGTCCAATGCCCAAGATATAGAACGGTCGAAGCCGATGCCAAGCGGGAACAGACACGGGTAAACAGAAAGGCAGCGGGAACTTGTAGACTCACGAGAAAGAAAAGGCAGTCAAGAAGTAATATCTTGAGAATGGGAGAGGAGCGCGAGCACGAATGACGACAGGAAGTGCCGGGGCGTAGCCGTTTTTTATTCGGGCGCTGTCCGGCTCTCCCAACCCCACACACCTGCCTCCCAGGGTTTGGTCATGATGCTACTAGCCTCCTCATGGGCAGTCATTCAAGTGCTCCTGGGTCGGGTACCCTTCCGCAGTGGGGTGGATCGAGACCGCGCTCGGCTCTGGACAGCCGATGTTTCGAGCGCGAAGAGATGCCTCGGCCGTTCGACAGACAGGGCAGGTGGAGCAGCATGACGAGCATCTGGTGTAAGCAGGCGGTCCATGAGAAGAATACCGGTAGAGGGTAGCGCGTCAACAAAACGACGAGGCCGGGAGAGCAGAGTGGTGAATGAAGCACTTGCTTTCGGAACCAGATTGGTAAACGCGTAAAGGGCGGAAGATCGGCACTGGCCGTTAGACTTGCCATCATCGTCTACGTAGCACCGCATAGGAGCCCGAGGTCCGGTTCCCGTCCTATACCCGCTGCGTAAAACGAGGCGCGCAATCGGCAATAGGGGACACAACTCCTTTCGGCTCGGTTCTTATCGGAGGTTCGCTCCTTATCTGGCGAAACGAACAGTTCCTACTGACTGACAAAGCAGTCCATCCCGCCCTGGCGCGTGGCGGTCGCGGAGTGCATACATGCATACATGCATACATATGTCGTCGCTATGGCCTGCATGCTTGGCGGGGTTCGTGACGGAGGGTGGCATCTCTAAAAGTAGAAACGTTTGACACACGCAGGTGAGGTGAAGAAAGGGGTGTCGGATGAGCCTCACACGGGGCACCAGGTTGCTGAGACGGGGCGATGGGAGGTAAATACTCGACGGATATGCTGTCGCCGCAATATTCAAGGTAAGAAAGGTTGCTTCAAAGATGGAAGAAAAGATGGAAGAAAAGATGGATGGTAGCAATGCCAGTGATACCTTCCGGAAGGGGGGGCAGGGCAGCAAGACTTTCAGCGGACCCGCCAGGCGATTGAGATCCCTGTTAGTGACTTGGAGAACATGGCCAGCAAGCTGCTCTAGACAGGTGAAAGGTAGCCGTGTCGAATATATGATTGCAGTTTACGGGAGCGATGTAGTCGGATGAGGCCATGGCAATGGCCGTTCTATCTCTCCTGTGAGTTTAAACAAGGTTGTTCGGCTAACAGTCTGTCATTGGGGTTGATGAATTGGCTTTGGCTATGGTGGTGCCCTCTCCCTGTCCCGCCCCCCTCTCCCTGTTCCGTCCCCCCCCCTCCGAATGCGGGGCTCCAAATTTTCATAGCGAACATGCTGCCCCCCGCCATGTGGCACGAGCCCTCACCGGCCAACAAGACCGACTTACCGCAGCTGCGAGATTCCTTAGTTGACTCGTACGGATTGTCCGACCTTGGCTTGTAAGTGCAATAAGAAGTAACGTTCCGCTGGTGCACCCAGCCAATCCCGTCTGCAACCATGTCCCTTACCAACGCCTCGCCCGCCGACGCCGCAAAGGGTGCGAAGTCGGCCTCCCACACCCTCGCGACCCTCTCTGCCGAAGCCCGCAACGACGCTCTCACGGCCATCCACGCCGCCCTCGCCGACGCCCGAGATGACATCCTGGCCGCCAACGCACGAGACTTGGAGCTCGCACGCAAGGCCGCCGCCGATGGCCAGTTGAGCCAGAGCCTGGTGTCCCGCCTGGATCTGGGCAAGAAGGGCAAGTTTGAGGATATGCTCAAGGGCATCTTGGATGTGCGGGGACTCGAGGACCCCGGTATGTGTGCTCACCAACGGCTCGGCTCCCCCCCCCTTCACTTCCTTCTCTGACTCGAACCTAGTCGGCAAGGTCACGCTGAGGACCAAGCTGGATGACGGTCTCATCCTGGAGAGGGTCACCTGCCCTATCGGCGTACTTCTCATCATCTTCGAGGCCCGCCCTGAGGTCATCGCCAACATCGCATCTCTGGCCATCAAGTCGGGCAATGCCGCCATCCTCAAGGGAGGCAAGGAGTCCACCGATTCCTTCATCGCCATCTCCAAGGTCATCTCCGCCGCCCTCGACAAGTCCCAGGTCCCCAACTCGGCCATCCAGCTGGTCACCACCCGCGATGTCATCCCCCAGCTCCTGGCCCTCGACCAGTACATCGACCTCGTCGTCCCCCGCGGCTCCAACGAGCTCGTCCGCTACATCAAGGAGTCTACCAAGATCCCCGTCCTGGGCCACGCCGACGGCCTGTGCTCCATCTACCTCGCCGACTCCGCCGATCCCTCCATGGCGGCGGCCGTCATCGTCGACTCCAAGACGAGTTACCCAGCTGCCTGCAACAGCTTGGAAACCCTGCTCGTCCAGGAGTCGGCCCTCGAGTCCGTCTTTCCCGCGGCCGCCGAGGCCCTGATCGCAAAGGGGGTGACGCTGCACTGCGATGCAAAGTCCAAGGCTACGCTACAGTCCAAGATCTCGGGAGACGCTGCCGTAAAGGTGGTCGACGCCAAGGATGCCGACTTCGACACCGAGTTCCTCTCCCTCGACCTTGCCGTCAAGGTCGTCGCGTCCTTGGACGAGGCCATCGGGCACATCAACCTTCACGGCTCCAAGCACACCGAGGCCATCCTCACCTCCTCGTCCGAAGACGCCGAGAGGTTCATGGCGGCCGTCGACGCCGCCGGCGTGTATTGGAACGCCTCGACGCGTATGGCCGACGGCATGCGTTACGGCTTCGGCACCGAGGTTGGCATCAGCACCAACAAGATTCACTCCCGCGGCCCCGTCGGCCTGGAGGGTCTCATGATTTACAAATACAAGATCAGAGGCCACGGTCAAGTGTCGCTGGCGTACGGCGAGGGTGAGGGGCAGAAGCCTTTCAAGCACGAGAAGTTGCCGTTCTGAGAGATTGGGAGAGAGACACAAAAGGAAAAGAGCATGTTAACTCGGCGTTAGTCAGGCGTTGTGGGTCGGGAAAGGGGGGGAGGGGGAAGAAAGAGAAAAAGAAAAAGCCCCCGAATAAATAAAGAATCACACCCAAGAGGGGCCATTTCAGTTGTCGATCTGAGTTCCGTTCATCCTTTTCTGGCGGCGGTCGTTGCCGGGGCCGGCCCCACATCAGTCGGGAACCTGCCGGTTCAGTACGGCCCTAACCGCCGAGAAGCCGGGCTCTTGCCGTCTTACCCGAATGTCTGCCATAAGCCAAAAAGCTTGGGTTATGTAGTATTTCCGGACATGGGTTCTACTTTTCACTGCGGCAATGCTTTGGTAAAGCCTTGGCGAAGCCTCCGACTCCCGGGAGGCATCCCTTCCTGCCCCTTGGCTTCCTGAATGCCACGCGAACAGGCTAGCCTTAACATGCTACTTTCACGAGGCGCCCTCGAGATAGCCATTGAGGCAATTTCCATTCGGAAATCAACATACCATGAAACTTGGTGAACAAGTTGTAGAACAAGGAGTGAATAAGAGGGAAGAAGCCGGGCCAATGACGGCGCGACTTGCTGTTGGTCGACTCTAAGCGCCGCCCCTCTTCGTCTGGCGCCCAAAAAAGTTAGAGACTCTCTCCGGCCCTCTAGGCGGTCGCCAGCGATTGGACGACAGTGCAGACCATCCCAACCAAGGAGCTCGAATTGGAACCTCGACCTCTGGGAGAAAGGTCCCCAATGATTACTACAGTACTTGCCCTACCGCACTACCTATCGAATGCAGGCTAACGGGAAGTTGGGGGGCGATGCGGCCACATTTCGTGGCCAGTCACCCCCCGGGAGCCGTGGAAGGCAGGGGTCCTGGCGGAGCTGTCTTGCACGGCGCGTGAAGCTCCCTCTTTAATGGACCTGAACCCCAAGGGCGCCCATTGTCTTTGCGCAACGCAAGCCTCTCTCTCCCTCCTCCTTCCTTTGAAATCCCCCGATACCTGTTCGGAAGCTTCGACCGTTCGAATTCGCTTGGTAGGCGGCATTTCTCTCGTGGAACCCAAGCCTTACTGTGTGCGCTCTGTGTCATCTAGCGTGGCTGCGATCACTGTAAGTGCGGGGCAGCGATGCGACAACTCATTGCCACCGGCCCTGGTAGGCGACTGACTGGACTGACTTGAAGGCAGATAGAGATCCTCTCGCTGTTTCCCTCCGCGACTCCGCCCTGCGTCGTCCCTGACCGAGTCTGATTGTTCAACGTTGGAAATACTCAACATCTCGACGACGTCAGCAGCCTAGCAGTGGCTTTCTCTTGTGGCCATGTCTGCCCAGTACTATCCCCGTGAGTCGCTCATCTGCCCCGCCAAACGGACAAGAGTAGCTTGCGCTGACACATTTCACAGCTCCCCCCTCGGGAGGTACGTCTTCTTGAGCGAATGAAGCCGTCGATTGTCCCCTTGGCTGACCGATCCTCAAGGTCAACCCCAGCAGAACTATCCGCCGCCGCCGCAATCGCCGCCCGCTCACCAGACCCAGTTCTCCTACCCTTCTCCTCCCTCACAACCTCGACACGGCCATAGTGGAAGCTATCCTCTGCCACCTCAGCCCTCCCCGGCGCAGTCGCAGAACTATCCGCCTCCTCCTCAAGCCTCGCAGGCGCAGAGCTACCCTCCCCCCCCCCAGCCGAGCACGCCTCAGAACTACCCACCACCCCCCCAGCCCTCGGCCGGACAGCACGCAAACTATCATCCCCCTCAACAGGCATCTCCAAGCCAGGTGAGGACATACGCGCCGCCTCCCCAAGCTACGACGTCGCCTGCGCCATCTCAGCAATATCCCCCGCCCCCGGGTCTTCCCCAAGGACAGCCTCAACAGCAGCAGTACCAGCCGCCTCCTCAACAGTCACCGCAGCCATCCCCGCAGCACCAGCAACACCAACAGACGCAGCTTCCCTTTCGACAGTCAGAACCCCCTGATTTGCAACCCCAGTTCTCTCCTCCGCCCGAGGCTTCCAGTCTGCCGGAGAAACAGTATGTCGAGGAAACGCCGGTCGACACGAGCAACCCGTCCAATCTCGTTGGCGGCGCGCCTCCCACGACGCACTTCATAGGAGCCACGGCAACCGTCGACGACGTCGGCACCTTCAATGGTGGGAGCTACCGAATCAGCCATCGGGACACCAACACTATCCTCACAATCCAGCTGGCCATGGGCTGCCCCTTGACCGCGAAGCCGGGTGTCATGGTGGCCATGTCACACTCGGTGACGCTCAGGGGTCAAATCAAGTTCAGCATGAAGAAGCTTGTGGCCGGTGCCGAGATGGCCAGCTCAACCTTTGTCGGGCCCGGTGAACTTCTTCTGGCCCCGCCTATGCTCGGCGACGTTACCAGTCTGCGTCTTACGGGCAAGGAGACATGGTCCGTCGGACACGATGCGTACCTGGCTTCCACCCAGGGCGTCATCAAGGACTATAAGCGCCAAGGTCTCAGCAAGGCGATTTTCAGTGGAGAGGGTTTGTTTGTGTACAAGATCAGCGGTACCGGCTTGCTCTGGCTGACCAGTTTTGGCGCCATCATCCGGAAAGACGTAAGTGAACTCGGGTGGTCCTGACGACACACCGACAGTGCTGACCCTAATCTAGCTCATGGACGGTGAGAAGTACATCGTTGATAACGGCCACTTGGTAGCTTGGAACGTCAAGTATATCATGGAGCGAGTCGCTTCTGGAGGTATCATCTCTGGCATATCATCAGGCGAGGGCCTGGTCTGCAAGTTCACGGGCCCTGGAACCGTATTCATGCAGACGAGGAACGCGGTAAGTTTTCTTCGCGGGTTTTACCCCTGGCTGGCCATGCTGATGTATTGCGTTACAGAAACACTTTAGTGCCTATCTTAGTGGGCAGACGAACCAGTCCGTTTAAACTCCCGCTGGAACGCTTGCTTGCATGTTGGCAAATCTGCCAGTTCTTGTTTGCGTTACATTTTATGGAGCGACCTTGGCAAGCGGATAAATTCCAGATGAAGATGTTGATGTAATTCAGTACCCTTGGACAAGTAGCGTGCCGAAAAATAATATCCTCTCCTGTTTCCCCCATACCTCTACTATGCCTTTGCTGTGTGGTCAGAGACCGTCGGCGTTCTTCTGGTAACAGGCTTTGAGGAAACAAGTTCCAAAGGTGAATGCGGTTTTGTATCTTCGAACGCTGTTTCCATCGGCTGGGAAGAAGAGGCCAGTTTATGCTTTACCTTTTTTTGGGCAGGAAGGACCTATCCGCCCGGATGGATATTATGCCAAAGACGACTTACCTTCCGTATTTTTCTACACATCGCTGAACATGTTGCCCGGTTGGTTAGAAGACACTCACGCACAATCGCGCCGTGCTCGTTCAACCTCCCTCCATCATCCACACCTGTCAGCATCACCCACCGTACCACCTCAACCTCCACCCCGCCCCCTTTTTTTTGGACACACCTTCGCAGACTTACAGGCTTTGGCCTAGAGCGCATGCTTTTATACCAGCGAGAAGGTTCAATCAAGTCACGAGTACGCAAGTTTACTTCCATCTGTGAGCAGTCGTTGCCACCCCCCTCGCCTCTCAGCTTCATCTCCTGCACCATCCGTCCGTCGATCAACTTTGGGCGTATTGGCCGACCAGATAACCCAAGGCGCATTTGCTGCCGTTCAAGCTCTACTGCTCATTGTTGCTCTTGTCGGCGGTTTTCTGATTGGCAACCACAACCCAATACTCGATTCAAATTCACTCGCCCAACACCTCAACTTTTACATATTTCCACTACCACGTCGATCTTTGACGGCGTACGGCGATTAGTCTCTCCTGCGTCTCATATGGTACCACACATTGGTTACCTCGCGAAATCACTCATTTACCAGCTTTCGAGTTTGCACGGCTTGATTTGTTGCCTCTCCGACTGGCTGGCAGGGTCATTACCTAGCCATTGCAGGGTTTGGTGAGGCTCCTTATTTCTCCAGGCAGTCAAGAGACGATGGGTGCTAATTGAAACAAAGTAAACATGGAAAAGCCCACTACAGCACTGAAAGCCGCCAATTGGCGGAGATCGCAAGTTTCTCATGACCAACATACCCACCAGGTCAAGATATCCAGAAAGCGAAATTCGTCAACCTCCACCGCCGACTTCGATATAGCCAATCCAGCTACCCACTGGCGAAGGCCTGTTGCCAGTATCGACCCTTTACAAAATGCTACCGACCCAGTTTTTGGGGAGAACAAGCGTGCTCTGGAGAAGACTGACGGCAAGTCTGTGGCTACAGCCAGATGTGTCGTGGTCGGTGCCGCTCCAGTTCTGAGCGATGGGACAGACAAGTCCTCTTAGAAGCAGGATCGCACATCCTTCGTTTTGGACGTTCTATTCCACGAATGCCAGGACCCCAAATGCAAAGAGCACAATAACCTATTCAACACTGCCGAAATTCGCAGCATTAGAAATGCAAATCGCTTCAGATCTCAGATACCTGATGACGGAGTCGCCGAGTTCGACAAACACTTGAAGAGGACCAGAGTCACACCTCGTAAGTCCTCCATGGTGGATCTCCAGATGCCTTGCAAGTATGAAAAGGAGGGGATATTCGGCGGCGACATTCGTCTCGATAAACCACGAGCACAATCAAAGCAGAGCACAACTGCAGTCATACACGACCCAGCGGTAACCAGCATAGCTGGCCGGAATCCCAAGCCGTCAAGCGAAGGCTCTACTCATAGCCAGGCTGATCGATATCAAGAGATTCTAAGAAAGCTTCGCCCCTCCTCTCATGGTTTACATTCGTCGCACATGGCAAGAAAGCCCAACGAAAATCGACCAAGGAAAGATTCCGGTGATTCTGGTGTTTCTGGCGATTCTGGCGACTCTGGTGTCGATGTCAGAAGCTCGGTAAAGACTCAAACTCTTAACCCCATGGCAAAGGAGTTCTCATTTATTGTCCCCAAGCAAGATCCCATCAAGGTGGAAAGCCCCGAAGAAACGTCTATCAGCATTCCCCTCTCAATGCTCAAGAAGATATTGGGCAGTAGTAGCCCTTCCAATATCATTGATGCTCCCCCGCAGAGTCTGGACGAAATCATTGCCAACACAATCCAACGATTTGGTATTCCCGAAGCGCGACCGCAATACATGTCGCCACCGGATCCCTTTTCGACTCTCGTGATGAGTCCGACTTTGCAGTCGCCCTTTCTTCAGCATACTACTCCACCACCCATAAGTCCCACTTTCGGACTCCATAACAACTCAACGACGTCTCCGTTTGGCATGTTCTCACAGATACCGGGTGCGCCATTGAATCAGTCTGCTGCAGGCTTCGTCCCGTTTGTTCCTCCGAGTACGGCCGGTATTCCTTCCCGGCTACCACCATTTGGTTCGCAGCCTAACCTGCCAGCTCCCGTTCAACCTCCATCTGGATACGTCCCCCAGATGAAAAGTTGTTTCATGCCAGCTCCCGACTATGGTCGACAGATGGCTAACGGTCCATCGATGCCCGGTTCTGGATTTATTCCGCACCCTAACTCTTACTTTCCCCCACAGCAACCGTCGATGCCAAATCAGGGCAACTTCTTCAATTCAAACACAGCTCCTTCATCTGTGCCCTGCATAGCCCCAAGACCCGCTCGTAAACCGCGAGTACCTGACGCGTTTGCTCAGCAAAATTACGAGGCTTACATCGAATGGCGCAAGGCGAACGAACCGGGATATGCTCACGAATGCAAGGACCGGCAAATCAGAAGGGCAAAACGGCTCAAGGGCGCCGACTCGCGCCCCTAAAGCAACGGCACAGCCGCTCACAGTTCTTGATAATGAGAGACACGAAAAAAAATGCATTGATTAGGTTTGGGATGAACCATTTCAGCAAACAAAGTCTGGATCCTCGAGATTCACGACTAGCCGCATTTATAAGCTGACAATACTTTGTATTGATTATCGGAAATTGGCCAGAGTGTATGAGAGGATGTTTGAAGTAGGCACGATTATCTGTCATGGCATGATGCATCATGGGGACTGGATTCAATAGCTATGGCGGGTTGAGCGATGATGGGACAGTTGGAGCAGTCAGGCTCGTAGCCCCTGAGCCGACTCGAGTCGCTTATACATGTTTAGATTAGCAGACGGTCCATTACTCTCTCCAATCTTAGGCAGGAGAAACAAGCATACAATAACGGGTTTCCGTCAAAGCGTTGTTCTTGGTTTCGGCACTCGAACGTGTTAGGTGGCATTGATACGAGAAACCACCGCCATCTGGAACCTCTCCTCGATGAGCTCCCTATACCAAGGGAAGAAGCAACGGACCAACCTGCAGTAGATTTGCAGTAGAGAGACGCGTGCGGTAAAAATCATGTTCTTTTGGTATCTTATCTGTGTGTGTGTGTGTGCAGCTACTCTTTCGTTGCCAAAGCCGTTCCAGCGCCGGCCTCAAATCGTCAAGGCCGTAGCAAAAGTTTCTGTAAAAACATGGGAGACCAGCGATGCTTCATCTGGGAAGCCAGCTCCTCCCCCCCCGCCCTCAGACTCATGCTGTATCATCATATAGACAGAATCAGGATGGACGCGACTCAAGCGTCCTCGATGCCGTACGCCTTGAGCGCGGTCCCGCCAAACAGGGCGGCCTGGTCCTCAGGCTCGAGGGTGGCCATGTAGCACGTGCGCTCGACCAGGAGCTTCCACTTGCGCCAGGCCTCGTCGACGCCGACGGTGCAGACGGGCCAGTCGCTGCCGAACATTGTGCGGCGGGTGCCAAAGGTGGCGAGGACGACGCCGAGCCAGGGGAAGATGGCCTCGAAGATGGCGTTGGGGTCCTGGCTCTTGAGGGAATCGGGCATCTCGGAGAAGCCGCCCGAGAGCTTGATGTAGGTGTTGGAGCACTTTGAGAGCGCGTAGATGGCGGTGCGCCAGTGGACGAAGGAGGGGTCGGTGGTGTTGATGATGCCGAGGTCGGGTTTGCACAGGTGGTCTGGATCGCGGTTCGTCAGCAGGGTGTTTGTTTGCATATAGGGACGAAGAAAGGACAAGAAAAGAAGGGGGGGGGGGGTTGACTGACTGATGACAAATGTGACCTTTTCCTCCTCGGGGACACCCTCGTGAGCACGAGAGATGATTTCCAACGCATCATCGAGCTGCTTGTTGCCGCGGCGGTGCTGGTCGACGCCCAGGTCGAAGACGAAACCGCGCTTGCCCAGGAGCTTCAGGCTGGCGATGAAGTCGTCCGTCAGGCCGGTGCCGTGGGGCTTGCTCTGCAGCAGGTACCGGAAACCCCTGATCTTGGGCCAGACGGCCTCGCCGGCGACCTCCTTGACGCGGTCGAGGTACCTCTCCATGGCGGCGGCGCCCGAGGGCAGCGGGGCCCAGGGGACGATGCCGAGGCACAGGCTGGCCTGGTCGGGCGTGTGGCCCTCGCCGTCGCGGGGTTTGCCCTCGGCGATCCGGCGCAGCCAGGCGACCTCCATGAGGGGGAACTCCCACCCCGAGCCGTCGCGGGCGCCCGCCTCGAGGTCGTGCTTGCGGTCCGTCTCGAGGAAGATGAAGCCCTTGAGGTTGGCCGGCGAGCCGGTGGCGGCGACGTAGTCGGAGACGGAGCGTTGCGTCACGAGGGGATCACCCGGGGTCGCCCAGGCGAGCGTCTCCAGCTCCGCCCCCGGGTAGAGGTGTATGTGGGAGTCGACAATGGGGTAGTCGGCGGCCATGGTGGGCTTTGTGGAGTCGGGGTAAGTCTTCTGGCGGGCGGGACGCCTGAGTGAGAGGGGCAAAAGGGATCTTGGGAATGTATTGTCCTTGTCCTGTCTTGTCCCGGGTAGCTCAATTGACGGTTTCTCGATGAGGAGTTTCGAAAAGAGAAAAGAAGGTAAAGAGAGGTCCTGATTGTGGGCTAGGTAGCCTGGGCAGTAGATGTTTGAGCCAAGCTGGAGGGGGGGTATGGAAATGGCAAGGAGAGAGCGGTGGTGAAGTCCCCGCACTTACTCTCAATACCGGGGGGTTACAGCAGTGACCCCCCCGCCCCTGGTTACTCCAGTTCCAGTTGGGCGAACGGCAGTGTCCCCCCCCCCCCCCCCCACTAGACCCTACTTTTGACGCCGTTGGCCCCACCCTCTTCGGGGGTCTCTCCACCGAACATTGGCACGCTCTTTACTGGTACGGAAAGGAATCCGGTATTCACGGGGCGGTGGAGACTCGCACCTGCGCCGACCGGACGACATCCGTGCCATTCGGCACAGTGCGCCGAGTCACTCGGGCTTCTGGCATTATAGCGCACCTGTTACAAGTTTCGATTTACAAATGTACAAATACACACAACTTGTCACGGTGGTACAGTTTTGGTTTGTCTTCATTAATGGATAGATTCAATAGGCATCTACCAGTTCCGCCTGTGGCGGTTGCTTGACTGTCTACATGAGGCGGCTTGCCCGGACCTTCCAAAGCCCAGCCCAGATCCGCGAAAACGGTCCATTCCCAGGAGCAGCAGCGGTGGCGGTTACTCCCGCGCGCTCCTGCTCCATCCCCTGGAGTCTCGGTCCCGCATTCTCCCTTCGGCGGAGGGATGCGAGGATGCTCCGTTGTCAGTGTGGAGACGTGACAAACGAAAAGGGAGTTCACGCGCGGCCCGGACAGGCGACCGCGGCGCGGGGTCGCAGCATCGACCCACTTGGAGCGAGGGGGCGTGCGTGCCGAGACCAGCTCGGCAGCGGCGCTCTCTCGGTGGATGCAATGATTAGCCGTCGGCGAGCGCGGGCTCGCTGCCGTCTCGAGGACAGGCGGCAGCGGCGCGGCAGCATCGCGCGACGAAATGAATGTACGGCCACGTAGGGCCTTCTTCTTCGTGTGTTTCTCTTGCTGGTCCCTTCCCAGGGCAAGATTGGGCTCTTCATCGGACGACGATGCCGTGGCGGCGGGTGGAGGTGACGTACTCCTCCTCGTCGTCCTCCTCCTCTGAATCGGAGCAGTCGGAGCTGTCGCCGTAGCCGCAGCGGGCGCCGCCACAGTCGATCTTGACGCGGTCGCCCTTGCGGGTGATGCCGTAGCGCTCGCAGGTGCAGGTGCTGACGTCGGAGCCGGGGGTGCTGTAGCCGGACAGGGAAGAGTTTGGGCTGGAGCTGTCGGAGCGGTAGGACAGGCTGGAGCCGGTGGAGGAGACGGGGGAGCTGGAGAAGTCGGTGACAATGTCCTCCTCGTCGAAGCCGGCGGCGCCGAAGCGGGCGGTGAGCTCCTCGATGGTCTCGTCGTCGCAGTAGTCGCTGTTGAGGATGTGCTGGGTAGCGTGGGGCGACATGGGCTTGGGGGCCTTGATCTGGGAGACGGAGAGGGGGCGACCCTTGGGGATGTCGCGGGACGAGGAGCGGTGGCGGCTGCGGCTGGACTTGCCGTCCTTGTCCTTGGAGGAGTGGCGGGAGCTGCGGGACGAGGAGTGGGAGGACGACTTGGAGGATGACTTGGAGCTGCTGCTGCTGCTGGACTTGGAGCTTGACTTGCTGGAGGACTTTCCGCTGGAGGGGACGTCGAGGATGTTCAGCTCACGGCCGGTGGTGGGTTCTACGGTGGAGGCAACGCTGGGGTTGTGAGCGACGTGGTAGCCGTCGATGATGTAGTAGTACCAGTAGCGCTGGCCGGCGGTCAGGGTGGAGCCGCTGAACTTGAAGGTGCCCTTCCACGAGCCGGACTTGGACGAAGTCTTGTCCTTGGAGAGGGGGAGCTGGCCGACGTAGTTGTCCCAGGAGCCGAGCAAGTGGACGGTCTTGACACCGGAGGAGACACGGAGGGAGAAGGAGAGTTGTGTGGACGACATTATTGCGGATGTTGGACAAGGGGTGCTGCGATTAGGTGATGATTGGCGAACAATGTGCGTGGCGAGCAAGAAATTCCAGATTTCCGTTGATCGGGGGATAAGCTGACCGGCAACTTTTGGTGATGGTTGTTTGCAAAAAGACGAATTTGGGTATTAGTTTGGAGTGCGAATTAAGATAGAGACCGGCTCTATGGAAACAAGAAAGAACAAACGGGGGAGGGAGGAAAAACGGAAAACTGGAATTAGTTGGTTGTAAGCTTGCTGAAGAAGAGAAAGAGGAAAAACAGACGAAAAGGGAAGATGGGAGGCTCCCATTATATGGTTTGAGCGGCCGTCCTCGGAGGCCAGCACGAGGCCACCGGTTGAGGCCAACACCCTTTCTCTTCCCTCCATTCCCGTCAGGTGGGTTCGTGGGAGGCCAGCCGAGATGCGGTGTTACTCGCGCCACCCATGGCCGGGGCAACGGCAGACTTGTCAGCGCAGTGGGGTTTACAGAAGAGGCGTCACTCGACGGACAGGCCAATGAGAGGACGGCTGGGAACGACGAGGCTTGTGGATGGTCGATGCAAGCATTCGATATCACACTGGTGATGTGCTCCGCGGCGGCGTTGGGAGGATCGGCCGGCCGGGAGGGGTGGGTGGTCCCCTCATCCCAGAGATGGGCACTCTATCAAGCTCCGCGTGTGCTTCTCCGAGATGTGTTTGGCAAATAGGAACGAAAGCGCTTCTCTGTGACTAGGCCGTCACCGTCACCATTGCGCCGTGTCCCCATCTATTCTTCCCTGCTAACAGGTTAGTACGATGCCTTAGTGGTACTACCACATACATAGTAATGGCCGCCGGGATGGGCCAGGTCAGCAAGCTGGGCGGTTAAGCATGGTGAAGGAGAGGGGGATTCCCTGGACTCAGATGCATACACACTGTACTTGGTACGTATTCTAAGCGAAAATAGACCGTTGTGAAAGAAAAGAGTGGGTCGATCGCGGTACGTCTCTCGGTCCGCTGTGCTCTCCTACTGGTCCAGAGCCGACCGGCCTCTGATGGCTCTGAATTGGGCGTCTAAATCCCTGTCGTCGCTGGCCAATAGCCCGCGTCCGTTGCTCTTCTGTGCCCGGTCGCCCATCACCCATCACCAAGTGATGTGCTGCAGGTCGGGCCAATCAATACTTGGATGCTCGATGCAGCTTTGCGGAAGCATCACCAAGCTCATGAGCCTTTCCAGCCCTCCCGATAGCCCCCTCCCCCTCTCGCCGGGATTGGTTCGTCCTTGAGGTTGAGGGATGAGCCGACCAAGACATTGTCCAATTCCTGCACGGTATTCGCCGGCCTGTCCGCATCGCCGAGCAGCGAACTGACAGACTGCATCATGCACTGAGTCAATGTGCATGCGGGCTGCATGTAGATGCGCAAGCATTCAGAGATTGTCCTTTTTTCTCATTGGAGTCTTGTCGGCTGATGGTCTCTGCCAGCCGCTTGACCAGGGAAGAACCGAAGATCGCCCAAGTCGGAGAGGGGATGCAGGCAAACATGATGCCAGAAGCCATGTTCCTGGTTCCCTGAGTAACAATGCAGACGGTCCTGCTTACTCCGGTTCGTCAGTTTCTTCCAGTACCTGCCTCGAAAGCAAACGGAGCAGATGCTCTCAAGGCCTGGCATGCAATATAAGCGGATCGAGACCAGCTTCTGCCGATGGCCCTCCATCTTTGTTGGCTTGGAAGCACGACAAAGTCGAGAAACCACCCCGCAAACTTGGCCTGGAGGAGATCAAACACTACCGAGATCCGGAGCTGGAAGGGAAGGGAGGGGGGGGGGGGGGGGGGACGCAGGAAACGAGGCAGGCAGCGAAGCAGGCCCTTCAGCGTTGCCTGCCCCGCCCCGGCGATGTAGCCTGTCAGTCGACGAGGCCGATCGTGGTTGCAGCCCGCCAAGTACAAACTGCCGTCCTCCGCCCTCGGCCGACATCAGCTCGTCTGCGTGACCTTTGAGCCACCCACACCACACACCTCGGAGGGTAGGATGTGAGGAACGGCACCATCATGACATCCTGCTTCGGCATAGTATCGAGGCGCGTCATCCGGATCCATGCATCTCTAGCTTCGGCGGGTATGTGAGGCCCATCACATACGGACGGAATCATGCCCCGCTGGTGGAAAATGGCAACACCCGTCGTGGAATTCCCCCCATCGCATCTAGGATCTGGGATCTAGGATCTAGTCCGCAGCCGCAATGTTTCTGGGCCGCGAAGGGCGGTTCATCGCTATCGATTTGCCGTCGTATAACGAGGCATTTGGAAAAGACGGCTACCCATGAGCAGGCAGCAGCAGTTCAGGATATCCATCAATGGTGATGCCCAGCGGTGACGCCGATAGATGTCTCACAGACGAAAACTGCGCACATGGAGCGGTCTGACCTCAGCACGGCGAGGGTTATGTCGGCTGACAAGCTGGGCGTTTTTTCGTAGTGCTACATGTGTTGCAGGAACACAGCAGATCGAGCTGGGAAACGTCGTTTCCCGCATCTGCCCCTCCAAGATCCGTGGAAACGTGGTGATGTCGGCAAAGCATCAAACGGATGACGGCAGTACCTGGGGGAGGCCTGGCGGGAGACGTCTGAATCACCCGTGGGCCGTAAGAGGGTAGGGCCAAGCCCATCCGGTTGTGAACTCCACATTTGAGACGAATCACGTGGGAAGTCTCGTGATAGCGCGTTATGGAATCTTTCCGAGCAGACAGTGTATCGTTTCCCGGCTTCGCGGGTAAGTCGCGCGAGCCTCCTCTCCCATCCTGTCAGTCTGAGTCAACGCCTCCAGACATCAGCCCCTCTCTCGTCAAACTGAACCATCAGTTTTTTTTTTTTTTTTTTCCCTTGAGAGTAATCTCAAAAAGCCCTCGTTAACGAGACTGCGTTGAAGTGACCGGATTACCAATCCACGAGCGAGAAGCCTTGCTATCACCGTTGATAAAAAAAAAGTCACGAGGTGCCCATTTTCCTTCTGTTGTCCGGTATTCAAGTTCAATCCTTCTGGGTTCGACGTAAACATCTAATACAAAAAATCTAGCCTCAACCGGGGCGGTTTTTTTTTTTTTTCTTCTTCTTCTTCTTGTTCTTCTTCTTTCTCATAATGGCGGCTACAAACGAGGAAGTCGTCACCAAGGTCACGGAGTACGTCGAGGGCTACATGGCAAAGTACGACGCCTCTCACGACTTCAACCACATCAGGCGCGTTGTCTCGCTCGCCCACCGCATCTACGCGCAGTCCCCCGCCACGCCGGCCCTGGACAAGCACACCATCACCCTCGCCGCCCTGCTCCACGACGTCGGCGACCGCAAGTACCTCCAGCCCGGCGAGGACGCCTCGACGCTCGTCTCCGCCGTCCTCGGGTCCCTCGGCGTCGACCCGCAGCTCGCCGCCCGCGTGCAGGCCATCTGCCTCGGCGTCAGCTACTCCAGCGAGATCAAGGACCCGGCCCGGGTCCGCGCGCTAATCGCCGAGCACCCGGAGCTGGCCGTCGTGCAGGACGCGGACCGTCTGGACGCCATCGGGGCCGTGGGGGTGGGCCGCTGCTTCACCTTTGGCGGCGCAAAGGGCTCGCGGAGCATGGACGACTCTATCGTGCACTTTGAGGAGAAGCTGGTCAAGCTCGAGGGCATGATGAAGACGGCTCCGGGCAGGGAGATGGCGCGGGAGCGAACAAGGAGAATCCGGACGTTCATGAAGTGGTGGGAGGACGAGGCAGGCCCCGTGAATGCATGAGGTCTTGGTCGTGGAAGGGGATGAAGGCGCTGTCATTTCGATTCAACTCGATACCCAGATTCATTTGAACACCGCGGTCCATGTTTCAACTAAGAAATTCAGTTCATTGTAGGATGACTCGAACGAGAAGCTCGACCCTCTCCAGACGCGCCATATGCTTTACACTCGTTATTCCATCCGTCCGGCTCCCTTTCGTCAGAACAGCCCGGGCCTCCGTCTCTCCTTGTCGTCCATCTTCGTGCTTCTCTGGGCCTGCCTGTACCGCCAAGCCCAGTCGACCAACGCAAGGAGCGGTAGGACCAACACGTCCAGAGCCCTGATCGAAGTCCGCAGGCCAAAGTCATGGGGCACGCGGTGCTGGCCGAACGATGAGCAGAGCGTGTTGACCCAGTACAGACTGACCTCGCGCAGCAACTCGCGCCCCTCAAAGTTGTACAAGAACTCGAACCCGGTACCATCCTGCCAAGGCAGCGTCTGTGTCCGCAACCTCTTGTCCATCACCACGCGCCAGTCGTCGTCCCGCGCCAGCATGAAGACGGCGACGGCGGCGCGGCGCATGAGCTGCCTGTCCGGGCCGTCGAACCAGATGAAGGCCGCGGCGAGGCAGGCCCACGGAAGACGGTCCCTGAGACGGAAGTAGTAGAGAAAGGAGATGTACAGGTAGGCGGAGCAGCAGGTGGCGATGAGGGTGGTGAGGTCCAGGGCGCTGGTGGACAAGTAGAGAATGACCATTAGAGGGTAGGTGGCCACTAGGAGGCGGAGCTGATTGGTGACGGTGACCCACCCTTCCCAGATGATGGCGGCCAGGACCTCCCAGACGATTGAAGGGAGATCTCCGATGGCCCGGAGTACCAAGACGGATACATGGGTGGTGGCTCCTCCTGATGGCCGCTGAAGCCCCATCAGTTGTAACGGTAATAGTCGGCGTGCGGTAGTGTTGGGCTGGGATGACGCCGGTGCTCCGAACCGGGGTGCAAGGTGTATCCCGTTGAACGCGGCGGGCCTCATGACTTGGGTAAGAGAGGTGGAGTGATGGCTACCGGCGTCTCTCCTACACTAAACGTTGCTTGTTTTTTTGTCGTCCTTTTCTCTTCTGTTTGGGGGGAGGGGAGGCAAAGGTTCAATAGGTAATCATAATGGCACGGAGCAAGGGAAACGGCATGTCTCACGTTCGGTTCCCTAGCTTCCCACAAACCCTCCCCCCCCTGGCGAAAACGCACCAGGAGCGCCACAAATATGATCTCAATCTCCGGAAGTAACAACACAAGGTAAGGCTGGTCCTGGACCGTCAAGGTGACGTAGAAGGGCAGGCAAGCTCGGACTCTCTATCCGTGCTAACCCTCAATCGACAAAGACCCATAGAACCAACCCCCGTGGGCCGCCCAGCACCATGGACGAGTTTGCCTCGATGATGCATCCTTTACGTGATGCCACCTCGCAATTGATTCCAGCAAACACTCAGGATCTGAATTTCCCAAGAAGTATCGGAAGCCTCTCTGTAGGGACTCGTTGACGTGCTTGCCCGCCGCTTTCGCACACAATGTGCTGGCACCTAGCGCGCTAGTAGGGCTCGGATCGAGATCAATTGAACGCTAGTCAGCATGGTGAGAGCCAACGGCATTGGTCCGTTCAAGACATCTACGGCTACCTACCTCATTGGCCGGCTCGAACCCAATGCGGCCTACGTGTTCCGACCCAGCACCAAACCGTAGGCGAGCTCCTATCCATCTATCTTGAAAGGGCGTACTTATCGAAAGGGCGTTCTCTCAGAAAGCTGGCATGTAGATGAACAAGGGATTGTCAACTCAGGCCTCAGTCCCTGACGCCAGATATGATGCGACCACGTATGACGCTGCGTTTTGCTAGCTAGTTCCTGGCGTGGGGGGTTTCAATTCCACCAAGGGAAGGGCATCGTGCTAGGAGATCCGTCGCCCGGGGAAGTTTCTCGGGTAAGGGGGAAATCCGGTTTCCCAGCCTGCACAGAGGAGGAGGCCCCTCCGCGTGCGGCTTTGCACGACCAACTTCTTTCGGGGACCCGGTCTTCGTAAAGAGTGAGTGGTGCTGGTGGTTTTGTTAGCCAATGCATTCACTTCGGTTTCATCCGGTTACATGGCCTTGTCGAAGCTTGCCCACAACTCGCAGTTTAAGCTTGTAAGATTTTCAGGTCCGCAAACTTCACTGGGCGAGTAAAATGCGGGTAATCTATGGAAGCCAGAATGCTATTATCAGTCTTAGAATCGACCTCGTTGATATGGCGGAATGCCCAGCGGGATCAGCGAGTGAGTATATCCATACCTACCTAAGCAAAGGGAAAGGAGAAAAAAAGTTCGTCAAATCTTCTGTACTTGACCACGCTACCGTGTCCACAAGCCTGGATGAATTCATGAGCAACTCAGAGTTTCTGCAAGCTGTGTGTACTGGTCCAATGCCTGGACAGAGATACCACCCTGAGAAGGTGCCCGACATCCATGGTGACTCTTAACACTGCCAGTTCGATGGATGGCTACCTTGAGAGACTGGATGGTCCCTGTTCCAACCTAATACCTTAGAAAACAGAACACCAGGTAATAGAATTTTTTTCCTCGGATCCTCGATCAGCATCTTCATCGTGAGACCTGAACGCTTCCTGAAAACAGAGCCATCAGGTCGACGACCCGTCAGGATGGCTTCCTCAGTGCCCTCCGAAGCCCTTCCGGCCCTCAACTGCATGCCGACAGAGATACTCGATCTCATATTTTCCCATGTCTCGCCCATAAACCTCTGGCACCTTCGCCGCACATCGAAACGGTTCAACGCCGTCCTCCATCCGCATCTCCTATCCACCCTCCGCGCCATGGCCGACCCTCTCCCGTTGACTCTCATCAGAGAGACCACCCCCGTGCCCCTATCTTTCGTCTACAATCTAGTTCTGGCCGTCATGGGCTACGACGAAGGCCGCAGGCTCTGGGGCAGAATCTTCCCGTCCCGATACACGTCACCGGAAACCCCTTATTCCTCCTGGCTACCTGCCACGCCGCCCCATCTTTCATTGCCGCCGCCGGCGGACCAAGAGCTCTCGCCATCGACGGTCCGCCGCCAGAACGACATCAACGCCCACCCGGACCTCTTCATCCCCCACCTCCGCGCCGCGTCCCCGTCCTTCGCGAACCTGCGGAGGATCCACTTCTGGAGCATCCTCATCTGGTACAAGGAGTCGTCTCTCATATCCGCCGCCCACCCCGCCGCCCTCGCGGTCGGCCAGGCCCGCAAGAACCGCCTCCGCTGGGCCTACAACCAGCACCGGGACAACTACGAGAGCAGGCCCGGAGACGACCCCGCCGTCGTGGACGAGCTCACGAGGACGTACATCTTGCGCAGCCAATTCGACCGCCCGGCCCCAGCCAGGTCGGACAAGGACCGCCCCTTTCTGCACATGACGTCGAGGAGACCACAGCACTCCGTCCCGTCCTCGCCGGAACTGGAACACTGGGTCCGCGGCGTCACTTTGCGGGACAGACCTCCCGACTACAGGATCCCGTGGCGGATGAGGCGACGGCCGTGGCGCAGCGAAGAGTCCAATGAAGCGAGGAAGTTGATGTTCACGAGCCGCGCCGACTTTGAACGGAACGGCTGATTGGCGCACCCCGGGAGCAGGCCGGCCGCCGACTATGGTATGAACCTAACGTTATGGACGGGGGGCTGAACATGGAAAGGACAGCAAAGGGGGGGTGGACCGAATCGAGTGTCTTTGTGAAAAGTATGTCACCATGTTCCAAGACCTTTACTTGAGCCGAAGCAAGGCTTTTCGATCCACCCCGCCGTACCAGATGTACTTGAGGTTTGCTTGCTTATGTTTCCCAAGAAACGCGGCCGTTGAGCGATTATGCAGAGTAAGGAGGAATTAGCTGAAGACCTCACTTCAGAGAGTGCACCTCATTGATAAAGTTTCATCTTGTTTTAGCGATAAATCAAAGAGGGCCCATCAATTAGAACGTTGTGTTCTGTTTAATTTATGTTAGCATGTCCTCAGTATTCGAGTCCCGAGCACAAGCTGGTCCGGGCCTCGTTCGTGTACTCCTAACGAAAGCCTGCAATAGAATCGTGCTTCGTCATTTTCCCCTATATCAAAATCAGATGCCGTTCTCATTTTCCTTCTCATCTGCCCCCTCCCGTCATTGCTAATGGACTCCATTATCAAAACCGGATACGAGTCCTCGGATAGGCATGGTCGAGCCTAAACGAGCAACGCGCCAGCCGCGAGAGCAGCAAAAGCCGCGGCATGAATACTACCGGTTACATGGTTGCCGGAACTGGGCGGCGCGTTCGTAGACGAGGGATTGACAATGCTAGACCCTGTTGGGAAAGCAGTCGATGAAGGCAAGTCCGAAGGCGATGGGCCGATAGCATTCGGGGTCATAACACGGTCCAAGACGTGAATAAGTCCGTTGTTTGTCCTTTCACAACTGGTTAGTCTCAACATTCCGGACTTTTATTTTCGAGGTGAGCTGACGTACAGAACGTTAGGACTAATGACTTTCGCGTCGTTGAACCAGATCTGGTCGTCTTTCACAGTGACTCGTACAGTAAGGTTAGCCAGCGAGGTGAACTCCTGGCCGTCCTCCAAGAAGTTGCTGTAGGCGACTTCGGGCAGGGTATGGAAGCTATTGGATGTGAGTTCATCTGGGATGTACCACGGGTATTCCAACGACAACTTACAGCAAAGCGCCCTTGAGCTCTGACTCTCCAAGAGACTTCTCCGGGTTGCCGGCCTGGTCGAATGCTTCCGTGCTTGGACCCAGACATGTGACGTTCGGCTTGGCGTCCAGCGTCCTCCATAGCTTGGTCTTCTCCAATGCGCCCATAAGAGATGTCAGCGAGTCCGAGAGCTTCCTGATCGTCGTCGAGCAGGGCCTCGGTGGCTCCAAAATACTGAAACAAGACTCAGCACGACCTTGGAACAGTCTCCATGAAGGTCACTTACGTATCGATGGACTGGAAATACCCGCCATCCCACTCGCCATCAATGGTGGTGAGCTCTGCGGTCTGGCCCAGACCAGCGCGTAGGTTTGCTACCTTGTCGTCGGACGAAGAAGACCCTTGCCTCACTCGGAGCCTTGCAGGGCTGATAGTGTCCCGTGAAATATAGAGCACCTGGCCTTGGGCCCCGTCGCCATACCGGCTGATGAGAGCAGGCCCGGGGCTTCGCAGGTTGTAGAGCGAGTCTTGGAGCTTGGTGGGAACTGTGATGCCTCTTGAGGAGCTGAAGTTCATGGCCGTCATGGGGGCGTCCAGAGTATGGTATTTGAACATGGTCAAGACCCGGTCAACGGGGATCTGGCTTACGTCGCTAGCATTGGATTGCTTGAGGAAGTTGGCAATTGCGTTGTTGGTGGGCACCAGAAGTGTGATCTTGTTGTCAGCCTCAGCTGTGACATTATCGATGATTCTAGGGTAGTTGCTCAAGATTTGGTTGAAAGCCGAAAAGTCTGCGTGTTTCGATAGTGCATTACTGAGGCTTTGCTGAAGCTGGCGTGGGGACATCGAAGCACTGCCAGCCGAAGCGAGCGGCGCGATGCCGACAGCAGCCAAGGCGAGCTTCAGTAGTAAACTGTACATGTTTCCCTCGGATTATTTGGGGTATCGCGCAAGACTGAGAATGCAAGCAGCCTGGGTTTGGATCACACGCACCACCAGGAGGGTAAGGGACACCTTCTTAAAAGCTTGCAAACCATTATACGCCGTGTCTGCCAGCCGCACGAATAGCCACCATTGATGGTCGACCTGTGTTCCAGGTGGCTTTATTTGCCTTCTTTTCAGCTTCTCAGTTCTATTGTCCTCGCGCTGTTTGCCAGGATGCCGGGTCAAGCCAAGCCCGTGGCTGCACAAGGAAGCTAGTGATGTCGGTTTATTACGCTGGAAGGCTA